TTCTGATCTGACGGCTTTGATTTGCTGAGTCATGCCTCACAACACCTGTCAGAGCAGAGGCGGGAGATGACATTCACTGTGCTGATCTCCCTGCTGGAAATACAATTTTTAACGATGCCCACCAACACTCTGTCCTCTGTTTGTGTCTGCGCACAGCGCCGCCTACAGTGCAGATTGTGCACTCAGGTCATGCCTGCAACGTGGAGGAGGAGCGCTACAGTGAGAGGGTCTACACCATTAAAGAGGGAGAGACGCTGGAGCTCAAGTGTCATGTGACGGGACACCCACGACCACAGGTGAACGAGTGTTCAGTGAGCACATAAAAAGCCGTAAAACACGTTTTTTTTCCTAATCATATTTTAGACTGTGTTGTAGAACCTCCATACAGAAACAAATGAGAGTCAAAAAACGGATATAAGCCACCACCGAACCCATGTTCCTGTCAAGATGATTGATGTGACGCATTTAACACAGGGGCGTGTCAAACTCTTGAATGTAACAGTTATCTCAGCATCCTCCACTTCCAACTCAGCCACTGACTCTGAAGTATTTATCATAGCAGGTCTCACTACTGTCTTATGAACCTTTTCCCCGACACCTGTCTCCATCCTGTCGCTCCCGTTCTTCACCTTCATCTGCTGTCAACACTAAAGTTTCCATTTGTGGGACAAATAAGGAACAAAGAAAAAGACACTGTATGTTCTGTATGTATGTATGTTAGGTTCGCTGGACAAAGACTGCAGGTGGAGCCTCAGATCGCCATAGTAACTCCTCTGTGCTCAATGACACCCTTAAGATACAAAATATCAGCCGCCACCAGGGGGGGCGCTACTACTGCAAGGCTGAAAACGGACTGGGTTTACCGGCCATACGGTCCATACGTGTGGACGTCTACTGTGAGTACTCATGCAGGCAAACACCTCCCCTCTTCCTCGCTCCAACCTTCCTCCTCACTGTTTTCGTCTCCTACCTTCTGCTCCTCTTACATTATCTTCCCTCCCCTATTCCTTTTCCTCTTTCCATCTTCTGTTTCTCTTTGTCTCTCTCTCCTTCACCCCCTCTCTCAACCCTTTTGCTCCCCTTCCACAGATCTGGACGTCCCTCACATCTCGGTCCATCAGAGCGTTGGAGAATCTAAGGAGCAGTTTTATTTTGAAAGGACGGTGTTCCTCCGCTGCATCTCCGACTCCAACCCTCCTGTTCACTACAGCTGGAAGAGGAACAATCAGCTGCTGACGCAGAACGCCGACCCTGGGGTGGAGATCTATGAACCCTTTTTTACACAGGTAAAGAGGGACCACTTCAGTCCACATCCATGACAATCACCCAGTCAGAGGAGAAGGTAGAAAGCACTTCACTTAAGCTGAGGACACGGGAGGTTTTTATTCTAAATAAATCCGTTTGTATTTCAGGGCGAGACAAAGATCCTTAAACTGAAGAACCTTCGTCCTCAGGACTATGCTGACTACACTTGCATAGCCTCCATCAGGAATGTCTGCGGCATCAGGGACAAGAGCGCCCACTTCAGACTGAGCAACAACACAGGTAGTACACAGATCAGTTGACATCAGCTTATTATACAGTATGTCAGAGAAAATGACTGTGATGGGATGGTTCCATCAGTTAGTGCATCTAGAATAAAACTGTACCAGAAACCATGATGTTGACTTGTGCTGTGGTGGCCTGTGTATAAGAGGGAAGATCCAAAAAGTGATTTTTATGTAATAAATATTATGTAAAGTGTCACTTTACAAAAAGTTAAGGTGAAGGTGGAGAAAATCAGATTTGTGTTACTTTTCTCAGTACAGCAGATCTGCTTCATCACCCCAGGGGCTGATGGGATTTAAATGATGAAGGCAATTCAGCTATTTTTATCCTGCTCATTTTTATTTCTGCAGCAGTAAAATCACCAGCTTTCAAAGTTGACCAAAGTTGACATGAAGCTCCTGGAAGAGAAATGAAGGGAGCGAGGCAGAAAACCTGGAAAAGGTTTTAATGTCGAACAACAGAATATCATGTTGTCGTGTTCTGTGTAAAATGATAGAGAAACGAACCCACTCTATCCTATCAACAATTTCTACACGATGTTGATGTAACTGTTTCCTGTGCTCCGCCCTTAGCTTCTCCCTCCATTAAACTCCTGGTGGAAGACCCCCTGCTGTTGAACCCAGGAGAGACCCTTACTCTGAAGTGTGTGGTGGTAGGCGGAGACCCGTACCCGGTATTGTCCTGGGTGAAGTCTGGAGACGTAGCGCTACCTGTGAGGAGCTTGGTGGAAGCTGGGATCCTGACCATCCCCGCCGTCACCGTTGACGACAGCGGTGTCTACACCTGCGTGGCTGCCAACAACGTGGGGAACACTGCGAAGAAATCCACCACAGTGCTGGTCAGAGGTGAGAACTGACCCCTGTGACCAGTGGTTCTCAAAATGTGGTCCGTGTACCACCAGCTGTACTTGAAATACCGTTAGTGGTTTACCGGAGGATAAGATCTTGGTGCCTGTCGTGGTGCTAGATTTTTCATTAGACGGTCAAACAATTGTATTAACAGGGTAGCAGTGGATTAATTACAATTATTTATGATAAATCGTATTAATCTAGATACATGAACGTTAATTTGTATTACGACGATGAGTGAATGGACGGTGGAGTTATTGGGTAAACTGTGCATGTCATCTTACAATGCATGAAAATTATTATTGTGATGAAAATGATCTCATTATTCTTCACAAATTAATTAACTCAATTAATATGTTCATTTTGACAGCCATAGTTTTTCAGAACTCTCTTGACCTTTCTCCTGTCTCCAGGTCTCCGTAAAGGTCGGTTCTGGATCACACCTGACCCGTATCACAATGACGATCACATCCAGATCGGCCGCGAAGTTAAGATCAGCTGTCAGGTGGAGGCCACGCCCCCGGAGGAGCTGCAGTTCAGCTGGATGAAGAATGGACGCTTATTACGCAGCTCAGAGCGAATGGTCATCACACACAGTGACAAAGAGGCCACGCCCACCACCACCACCAACCTGGACATTATCGACCTCAAGTTCACAGACTTTGGCACCTACACCTGTGTGGCCTCATTAGGGGGCGGAGCCAGCCCCGAGATCAGCATTGATGTGAATATTTCCTCCACCACAGGTGGGTGTCGTTGTAGGAGGAGCTCAATAATAATAATAATTCATAATTGATCATTTCATAAAATTCACAATTTCAGTAATTTATGGTCAACTCCTCGTTGTTCTTTGTCACTGCAGTTCCTCCAGAGCTCTCTGTCCCCAGGGGGCGCTCTCACCTCATTGTTCAGGAGGGAGACAATGTAGACCTACAGTGTCTGGTCTCTGGGAAACCCAAACCCATCATCCTGTGGTCTCGGGTGGAGGAGAGCGGCTCGGCGGGGGATCTAATGATAGACGCGGAGGCTCAGACCGAGAGCTACGACGGCATCCTGAGGCTCAGCAACGTGAGCAGAGACATGAGCGCAACGTACCGCTGTCAGACCAGTCAGTACAACGGCTTCAACATCAAACCACGAGAGGCACTCATCCAGCTGGTGGTGCAGTGTGGGTAACACACAGAAATACAGAGGCATGCTAATATAACGACGCTACGCTAAACCTTTGCTGCTAAATCAGCTAAGTCTGATTTACCTTTGGCTATTTTAGCAGGGTTGACATTAAACTACCTCTTAACTTTAAAATATCATATAATATAATACTTAAATGTTTTTGGGGGTTTTTTTGGTTTTTTTTCCAAATTCAAATTTTTTGGTTTTAACACTTTTTGAGAGCCAGGTTATTTTTGCTACATGTTGGCCATTGTTAAAGCTAATGTAGTTAGCTTTTGGCCTTTGGCCTCTCCGCCAAACTCATTTTTCCTTTCGCAAAATATTGGCTGCTGTTAAGATTTAAATATTAGATAATTTTAGTGTGATCTTTAGGTTTAATTTTAGTGTTTTGCTGTAGCAGATTTACATTATTTGACATTTAGCCGCAGGCTGAGATTTTGTTTTTTTAGTAAGGACGTTCTGGGAGTTGAAACTCCAGCTTCACATATATCATTTTGGCCAATCAGATAGCTCCACTGAAGGTCGGTGTGATGCAGAGACGTCCAGCTGACCTTTAGCTGTTCCAGTTGGAGAAGGAGGAAGGTTCTGGAGACATTTCTGCAGGGTTCAGATGACCCACTGACTTTTATTTGTGTGTGTGTCTACTCCTGTCTGTCTGTGTTCCTGGTCTAGCTGTAATTGTGGAGACAATTTGGGAAAGAATACAATATTGTGTTGACTCTATGTCCTTCAGGGACACTGAGTGAGAGTGTTAGACCTATAGTCATGGTCAAGGTTGGGGAAAGAGACTAGGGGATGAATTATGTCTATGTGAAGAGATCATGAAATCAGAGCTCTATAAATATAGCTTTTGTCCAAGTTCACATACACATTTTTTGTCGTGGTCTCACACTTTTTCTCCTCCACCATCAGTCCCCCCGGTGGTGGAGCCTGTCTTCACAGAGGTGCGTCAGGCTCTGGGTCGAGCCTTCAGCCTGACCTGTCGTCTCCTGCGAGCTCATCCCGCACGTCTCCTCAGGTACGAGTGGAAGCTGGGCTCCCGCCTGTTGACGGTGGGCCAGTTGGGCGAGCAGCAGGACGACAGCAGCTACCACGTCCGTGCCCTGAACAGGGAGGGCTACGGCGAGTACACCTGTGACATCACCAACGACGCCGGGGCTGGTCGCTGCACCTTCCTGGTCACAGGTGAGAGCAGTGCCTCTAGTGGCTGCAAGCAGAGGTCAGACGAACGGTTTTTTAATCCGGTGGTTCTAAATTATTTTCTGTCACACTCATAAAAATATTTTCACACCCCCCGTATCCCCTGACCCACACCCCTGCAAATTGAAATACTACAGAGAACCTGATAACATGTATATTTTATATCTGTACAAACCAATGTATGAGTTGCTGCCACCTAGTGACTGGAGGCTTGTTATCATTCAAGCGTACTTGAGAAGAACTGTTTTAATCTGAAGTTTTTGATCTGACATTGTCATGTGACCTTGGTCTTGGTCGCTCTCCAGTGGACTGGGTTAACATATGATACGTGTGCCACAGAAATGTCCAATTTATAACGTAAAATCAGTGTTATGTCTTAGTATCAAACGACCTAATTACTGTACGTATTCCATAGTTTTGTAATGACCTCACATCAGTGTCATAATGAAGTCGTTTTTTTCAGCCTTGTATCAGGTTGCATTGAGGTCATGGTGATGTTCTCTGGGTCACAGATCTTTCCAGAGGAACTGCTCCCTATATTTCGCTCTTGGTTTTAAATTAGAAATCCCAGTGTTCATTCATCTGAATCAGGAGGAGCTTTATTCTCTCTGTTACACAGGAAGTGGCGGTGGTGTCGCCTGATGAAAGCTCCCTCCAGAAACAGCCTGTCAGCGTTGTGAGACTTCCTGTAAATGTAAAATGTTGGCGTTAAGCCTCTTATCAGCCGCAGCCCATTCTGCAGGCGGCAGCAGAAAGTTTTTCAGGGAAAGTTGTAAGCTGAGGATGGAAAGTGATGGTGATTAAGTCAGGCCTGTCGACGGCGGAGCGCAGTTTGTGTCGTTAATCAGGTGTGAACATGCTGCCGCCTTTAAACCGTGCGTCTGCTGCAGACTTCAGCAGCTTTTCAACTAAAGATGACGTCCTGAAACAAAATGGACCGTGAGTCTCAGAGACAGGAAGACTGAATCAGGACCAGTGAGTTTTTTAGTTTTTGAACCCACCTCTGATCACAGTGTCGAAAATGTCTCTCTTGGACAAATTATTCATATTTTTAATAAACTGTTATATGACGTTTTATGAAAACCTTTTATATGTATGTTTCACCTCTGTCTCCTCAGGGAAGGCCTATCCTCCAGAGTTTTACTACGACACCCACAGTGCTCTCTGGCAGATCCAGAACCAACCCCGAGTCTATGGCTTCAAGCTGCAGTGGACACAGATGGAACCCAATGGTGTGGACCGAATCCTGGCCTACAGACTGGGCATCAGACAGGTCCGAACTCTGCAGATAAACCCCAGTCACACATTTCAGTCTGGGAGAAATAGAGACATCTAGTGGCAGGACTTCAATCAATCAATTCGAAAAGTTTTTTTTTTTCATTCAAATAATTTCCTTCCAAAATCAGTCATATTTCAGAGTACTTCTGTCAGTTCACGTGTGTGTGTGTGTGTGTGTGTGTGTGTGGGCCTGCAGCCCGAGATAATCCTCCCGGACAGAAATGAGACTCAGCTTCTTATTCCTTCTTCTTCTATAGCTTCATATTTCCTGCTGAGTCATGTAGACAGAGGTGTTGGCTGATGTGTAGGTTAAACTGGCTCTTTCTGTCAGAGGCTTTGTAGTTTTTAATGAACTGGGTAGCCCAAAGTAGATAAAGGTTAGCCTAAATATTGTTAAATGTTAGCTGAATAAAATTAAAAGCTGAACTAAGAGACATAAAAATATAAGACGCTGTTTCTGAAAATATCCAACATAAAAGTCTCAAAGTTAGCATAAAAGAGAGCTTAAGAAAGCAGTTTAATATGTTGTTTAATATTTTTCAAATATCCTCTAAAAAAGAATCTTTGAATATGGTTTTCTAGCGCTGTTCAAATCTGCGTCTGTGCTTCAGGTGGGTCTGTCACGCTGGTGGGAGCAGGAGATTCCCATTGAGGGAAATATCCAGAAGGGGGAGCTGTTGACCTACAATTTGACAGCTTTGGTTAAACCTGAGTCTTACCTTGTTCGACTCACGCCTATCACCCGCTACGGAGAAGGAGACGACACTGAACGCACCATCACATACAGTGGTATATAAAGACGAACAGAGACAGGATATTTAAAAAATGCTAACCTGGTCAGGTCGACACCTGACACGTGGGAGGTATTTTCTTACTGTGTTTCTTCTGTTTTGTCCCTCAACAGCTCCTGTAAATCCACATCTCAGTAAGTAACCAATCACTGACACACAAACAGAAAACAGAAACGTATTGTTCATATCATTCATTCATTGTCCCGGGTTTAACTCCCAGAGGTAATGGCGCCTCCTGTGGCAGCTTGTGTCAGTTGCAAACATTGACAATTTCCCCATTGTGGAACGATTAAGGGACTTAATTATTATTATTATTATTATTATTATTATAGTTGTTGTTGAAAGGGTTAGTTAATTATTGAAATATTTAACTTGAATATATTTTGTGTATTTCTCTGTATGTGTGTTTTCAGGGGAATTCCAGTGTGGTTTTGAAGATGAGGCCATGTGTTTTTTCTCTCAGGACCAAACAGATGATTTTGATTGGACACGTCACAGCGCCTCCTCTGGAACTATTAAGTACACACCGAACACTGGACCCAAGTCCGACCACAGTGGTACGATTTATATTTCTCTGAGAAGCTGATATTTTAGCTAATCATATGTCTCTTCATAAGAAGTGTTGCATGTTCCCACTTTTCCTACACCTTGTTTTTGTTTTTACAGCAGTGGCATCCTTTGGTTACGTTACTGCCCCTTGTGGTCATTTCTTGTCTGTCAGCTTTAGCGTTTACCTCTCACTGTATGTCGCTCAGGCTTCTACATGTACATTGAGACATCTCGGCCACGGAAGGACGGAGACAAAGCTCGACTCTTGTCAACCACCTTCAATATGAACAAGAATATTAACAGCGCCACCTACTGCTTAGCCTTCTTCTACCACATGTATGGAAAACACATAGGTAAGGGACTGATGCCTTTAAGATGTTATTCTTTTTGTACAAGTGCTGATGATGTCATAGATGACCTGAGGCGTTTGTGTTGTAGGAGCCCTGAACGTGTTCCTACGCCAGAAAAATCCAACAGCCACAGAAACATCTGTCTGGAGTTTAACCGGAAACCAAGGCAACCAATGGAGACAAGCCAAAGTCAACATCCACCCAACCTCTACTTTCCAGGTACAAACCCCATCCATTAACACCTCAGAGAGACACAAGACGAAAGTGTAAAAACAGTTCAAATACAATGCAAACCCTTGAAACTAAGAGAATTAAATCAACCAGGAAACAAAACAACAAAGGCTGGAAAACACTGCCTTAAATCGCTCTAAAAAGGCACTAAACCACATCAATACTATAAACAACAGTAAAGAAACCCAGATGAAACAGAATCGGAAAAAAAACAACAATAAAAAACAACCACAAAGACACAAAAAAACCACTGCAAACGCTCCCAGATTAACCACAGGGAGACTTGCAGTGACCACAAAGCAACAGTAAAGAATCTCAAAGTGATACAAATAGACACTAAACAGCATCAAGACGAGAGACAACTACAAAAAGAACAACAACAAAAGGACAAAACTGAAAACAAAACCACATCATGAAACAATGACAAAGAGACCAAAAATGTTTTTAAAAAACCTGACACAGAACTACTGTCCTTCAATAGATGGATAATTATTTGAGGGGAAAATATTTGTTTGTGTACGAACGTTGTTTTCTCTCTCAGGTAGTGATGGAGGGTGTGCGAGGCGCTGGTATCGAGGGAGACATCGCCATTGATGATGTCACCATTGAAGAGGGCGAATGTAAAAACCTGCCCCCCAACAGTAAGCCCACTTGTTTGTTGACCAACAAATCAAATGTTTCTGCTAAATTCGTCTCACCTTCTATTATTCTTTTTGATTTACTCAGATCTGAGGTCTCTGGCTCCGCCCCTTTCCCTTCATATATGGCAGCTGAGCCTCTCCCTGAGTCTGTTTCTGATTGGCCAGCAGAGATGACCCCTCCCAACACTGTAGGTGCCATACTGCATCCTTTTACTGCCCTAATATTCAGATGTTGGATCTTTGCCCCCACCTTCAGAAATAACCCCTCGCTGCTGCAGTGAGGTTTGTTTACAAAGTCTAAAGCTCAAGTTTAGCAGTGGGACCTGGTGGGAAATGGAATTTTCATCAGGAAATGAAGGTTTATTTGTATTATGTCAAGACTGATGGAGCCAAAGGGGGGGGGGGGAGGGGGAGTTTAAGTTCAAAGTTCAACAACAAGCTCTTGATAAAAGTTTTAAACTTAAATGTTCAGCAGTGTGATGAAATGAATCCTTCTAGAGAGTGTGTGTTGTAGAGGGGCGGAGCCACATCCACTAGCATAGCTCGTCTACAGGCAGATCTTCATGGCTGTGACGGAATACACATTAATGGTGAAAGAATATGAAATATACACAATAGCAAATAGGAGAGCGCCTCCACCTGGCCAACTCACACAAGCACCACTGTTTATCACCTGATAACACGCCATGTTCCAGTTGTTGGGCCACAAAAAACAACAACATGCAGTAAATATCCCAGAAACCACTGCGGGTGAGGAAATTGCGAGGAAACAAATGTGGAAGGGATATGATCAGAGTCAACTTCTCAGTCCATAAAATCCTTAAATTGAGAGGAGGTGGGAGTATCTGGGATTTATCACACACCCTACTGTAGGGTAGATCATCCAACATAACTACATGTTAGACTTCCAGGGGTCTGCAGTTGGAGCAGCAGCATCTCGCCCCCTGTGGGTGTGGTGGGGTGCAGCAGCTCTCGACACGAGACGTAGATAATCGCTCTAATTCTCTGTGAGTCTTGACTCCTTTTTCACCAGTCATAAACTCCACCTTTATCACCACCGTAATTAGGCTCAACTTGTACGTCACCTCCTCAGCTCCACCTCGGCACTGCCGCCTTAAAAGCCCTGCCCCCTCTCTGCAGATCAGAAGTACTGTATCTGACTTCAACAGACTAATGTCCGCACTCTTTTTCACCAGTGGGCGTGTAAACAGTTTACAGTGGGCAGTGTGTTTTTTAAGATCTTATAAAACCTTATTTTGATGCACCTGTTCATCCTCTGCTGTGACATCAAGTGCCTTCAGACTCAAGACGAAAAATGACGCCACGACGAGTCATAACACATTTGACAGTGTGAATACACAGAGAGAACTGGTTTTTTATTTTTATTTTCGGACATTTAAAAAAAAAGTGTCTGTAGAGTCATGTATCCAGGAGATGCAGTAACAAAGAAGCCATGGAGAGTTTGATCACAGACAGTAAAAGAACTCAAAAGTATGTGACCAGATTTTCACCGCTAAAGGACTTCTTGTTAAACGGCAGCATCCGAGCATTTGTCCGTTGGGTACTGTAAGTAAACAAAAAAGGAAATGAAATATGAATTGTTTTATTTATCTTGTGTGATGAAAAAGGAAATCCTTGTTATTTTTAAAATTATATTTGCATTTTGTTTTTATTGATGTTGAAAAGTTTGGCAGAACCATGTTACCACAGAACCTGAGAGACCTGTACAGAAGCTCATAACTGCTAAAAAGAGAATGCATTTATTTATGGTGACGGTAACTGCATCACCACGGCCTTTCTTCACAGAATCTTCTCATCAACATAAATTACAGTATTCAAGTCAAATTATTATTATTGTCATAGGCAAATAATAATGTTTACAGCTGCAGGAAATAAATATAAGGTGGCAAAGCATAGCTTAGCAGTGTTTTCCTTGAGAAAATGGTTTATCTTCAATAATGGAGAGAGTTAGAAGTGTAGTTAGCTTTCTGTTAGCCAAAAAAGGTCATTAGCTCAGTATTAGCATCAGTAAAGTAGTCGGCTTAACATTATCCCTTAAGAGTGGTTAGTTTACCAGGCAGTAGTAACTAAACAATCTGACCTGAGGAGAGCTAGCACTAGCTTAGCTTCTTCTTATTGGGGAAAGTAGTTATATTAGTTGTCGTTCAAACTGTTTATACACATATATACACATGTATAGATATGTGTATATATGTATATGTAAATATAAATACATATGTGCATTTTTATACATATATTTCTATATATGTATATACACTCTCTATATATGTATATGGAGTATGTATGTAGAGAGAGAGACAACAGCAATTTACTAACAGTAAGCAGTAGTAAGAGCTGTAGTTTAACTGTTTTTTTGTCTCCTTTTGCTTTTGTTTTGAGATTATAGTCATAAAATGTTGTCTTTGTCATTAAAACAAACAAAAAGATCATTTGGAAACACTTTTGAATCTACATTAGTAGCATAATTGACCTCAGTGCTGGTCCTCATGATGATCCTGATTTTTTGCAGTTATGAGGTTCTCTATATGATCATATTGAAAGAAAGAACAAAATGGTCATTTGGATTCATGTGGGTTCACAACAAACAAACAAAAATACAGACTTTACACAAAAAAAGTTGAGTGATTGATCGTTCACTGGGTTTTGTGATCAGACAAATCATTTTTTTCTGACTTAGAAGCCTGTTTTTTCACCAACCAATTATTCTGTTCTTTTATATGGTATTTTTTTAAAATGTCAGTAAGATTTAGGCTATTTATTTATTTATTTATTCAAGATTCAGAACAGATTTTAGTACAAATTGGAAACTAAAAAATGTGGCAAAAATAATCCAAGACCGTTTCATTCAGACTGTATATGTTATCATCTTCCAACCACTACTTTAGGGGTTGAACTCTAGCTGCCTGCTGATGTTCCTCTGTGCAAGGCACTTCACCAGATTATTATGCCTCCACCGCCAAGTGTCGGTCACATTCCCAAAGAAATAGAAACAGAATGAGTGTATGAGGTAAAAACCTGTGCCAAGAATCGCAAATAGAGATTATTTGTTGCAACCACTGTAGTTGAAGCAGCAGAAAGAAAATGATAAACCTGCGTGATCTTGGCTATGACTTTAAGAGTCACACTTTCAGTGATATGGATAACATATTTCAATTGTGACATTCATGTTATGCAGTAACTCTGCATATCTGTGGGAAACCACGTCTTGTGTTCTGGATGGTGTTATTTTATTTGAACTTCTGAAGGACGAGGCAATAAAATCAATGAAATGTTTAAAAGATATTTTTATACCTGGGATTTTTCTCTGCAATATGTTCTCAGATCAGTTTGACTGAAGCTCACACTGCAGTATTATCATTATTATTATTATTATTGAAATGGACATTATTATTACTATTGCTATTATAAATAAAGCCAATTCCAATGTGACTCCTGTGTGTTGTGTCTTGATGTTTCTTTAATGTGCCTTTATTAAATATTAAAGCTTGCATGAGTTGTTCCTCATGGCTCTGGTGCATAGACCGTATGTAAGAAATGGGTGGATAAAGCCAGCTGGTATCATAAGTGTTACAGCAGTGGTGACTTCAGTGTTTATAATCATCATTTCAGGGACATAGAGAAGCGACAGACCAGACTTTTCTGCCTTCTGTTGGAAAATGCTCTCTTACACTTGGATAAGGCAGCCAACGTTAAGATATCATTAAATAAAGATTATATCATTTCTATAATCCACTGAATAATCAGTGGAATTGTGGACAGTTGGTAAAAATATCAAAGAAGTTCTTTGAGAGAAAAAAAATGTAGTAAACATGTAGTTCATGCACATTGTGAAAGACCTGGGTTAAAATCTAGGAGCAGTCAGAAAAACATACAGTTTGTCAGCATGGTCATTGGTAAGACCACAGCTATCGATCTGGCCAGCAGGGGCGCCAGAGTGATTGTGGCCTGCCGCAACAGAAGTCAAGCTGAGGAAGCCATCCGAGAACTCACAGGTGAAGGAAGACAAATTCTAATATTGGTTCCCGCTACTGATGCTAAAGATTTTTTTTTCTAAATATAATAGTTCCATTTAGAGTAGTTTTTTATACAATATCACGTGTTATATTTTATTATGAAACAAAGAAAAGCAAAACTGTTTGTAAAACTGCTAAAAGGTTCTAAAATAAACCATGTCAACAAAAGTCTAGAATAGTCATAAACATATCAGGAGTTTGTAATATGCAATTGAGCCACTAGATGTCACTTAGAAGGTGAAACCACGGGCATTATTTTGGGGGTTTAGTGGGGGGGCATATTCGTAGTTCGTGGGTTTGAACAGAGACTTTGTCAATAATTATTAATAAAACTAAAAATCAAACAGGAAATAATATGTAATAAAAATGATGTAGTACCAATTATATGATGTATAGGTGACGTTGAGTTTATCTGACAAGTGTGTTTTAGAGTTTGAGTTCCTGTTTCAGTGACCAGCGACAGTAAAACAGGTCAGACCAGACCGAACCGGTCCAGATTTCCACGACAGACCCCGCCCACCTGATGGCGTAGCCCTGCCTCTTGTTGTGTGCAGGTGTATTAATGCATGAGAGCGCATGACCGTGAGACAGGAAGAGCAGTAGAAGACAACGAAGAGTAGAGATGTGGGCGCTCATGGTGTTGCTCGTGGTTTTGCTGATAGGATACACAATCCTCACACGAACCATCTTCAAAAAGTCCAAATGTAAAGGAAACAGACCCATTGCCGGGAAATGCGTCATAATCACAGGTAAGGAGGGGCGGGGGGATGAATTTCAAACATTCACTTATTTTGTAACTTAAAAAAAAAAACTTCAATGATACACAGTGTGATGCGTTCAGGCCCACTCTGTGGCGCGGTTATAGACTTACTGGAGTTACTTTTTAAAAAAGATGTTCAAGTCCAGAGGCCGTCACTTAGACCAAACGGCTGACAGGTCATGTGAATAGAACATGTCATTGAGGCTAATTATGTTCATTGAGACTCATTCTGGACTTTTTTTTTTTTTTTTTGGATCACTTGGATTTGTACTTTATTTATAGCTCTGCGAACCTGTCCAAAACATGCATTTAGGGACACACTGATTAATGACACATTTTTAGAGACATTAATGAGAGTTGAGAAAAAAAAGAAGCCAAATAGAGGCTAAGTAAACAATTGTCTAAAGGTATATCAAAACTGAATGGAAGACCAATGACCCAACATTTTGTTTCTATTTTAAAAGTTAACAAACAACAAGTTCTGAATTGGGTGGCAGATATTGTAAATTATTAAAGTGTAAATAGTTGCTTATTTCAGGTATGTTTTAAACAGTTCGTTTTCTCACTGCAGGAGGAAACACTGGCATTGGTAAAGCCACAGCCCTGCACTTGGCCAGAAGAGGCGCCAGAGTCATCCTGGCCTGTCGAAACCGGGACAAAGCTGAGGCTGCTATTGCTGAAATACAACAGGTTAGAAATAAAAATGAGTGTGATGTGGAGGAGTTTCTTATTAACTCAATGGTTGATGTGACTTGAACTCATGATGTCATCACTGTTGCAGGAAACAGGAAGTACTGACAGTGTTTACATGCACCTGGACCTGGCTAGTCTCAAATCTGTACGAAGTTTTGCTGAAACTTTTCTGAACACTGAGAAGCGACTGGATCTGCTCATCAACAATGCAGGTACAGTATGTACACACGCACACACACACACACACACACACACACACACACTCACAGGCTCATGCCAATCACATGCATCAGTGTTGAGTTCAACAAAAACAAATAGTCTGCACTGATTTCTAAAAGAGAGGTGGGGCTACTGTAGGTGTGATGTGGTGTTGCTAGGCGGAGTGACACGCACTTCTTGAAATACATAAAGACACAACTGTTTCAAGGTAACTTTCTTTGAAGCATGACATGAATTTGTTTGCATGATATAGATTTTTCATTTCACATTCATCACATTTGCTGGTTTTTACCAACTCAAATATTTACAAAAAATTGGAGGTTTTTACAAATTGTAGTAATTTTCTACCACAATTTTATTTTTTACAAAAAGATGATTTTTTTTTTATCATAAAACGTAAGCAGTTTTCTATAGTTTTGAATTTTTCTTACAATCATGCTTCATATACACATTTGTAAAAAAAAGCTTAAAACAATATAACAGTGGAGATTTTCATATTGTTTATTTTCATTTTTTTATTTTTATAGTATTTATTTTATTTGAGGGTTAAAGGTTTTGCTAAGTTGAGTTTTCAGTTTTTTAAACATTCGTAGATATTTTCATATTGTAGTTTAACATTTTTAGTATCGTGTTTTTATATAATTTTTTTTTACCTTTTTTAAGTAAAAGACACACCAGTTAAATATAAATAAAATATAAAACAGAAAGCTTGTGTACATGCATACATTTAAAATAATTCCACTATTTTTTTTAATTGTCTGCAGGTTTAGTTGGTGACGGTCGGACAGAGGATGGCTTCGGCGTGCAGTTTGGTGTTAATCACCTGGGCCACTTCCTGTTGACCTGCCTGCTGCTGAAGAGGATGAAGGACACGGGAGGAGGAAGAGTGATCACACTGTCCTCCATGGCTCATCAGTGGGGACACATTGACTTTGATGTAAGACACACACCAACACGTACACATTTTAACACGTAGTCACATGCAGGTGAAAGTTCAAGTGGAGGAATTGGTGTCATGTCATTTGTTGGATACAGTGGCAAAAATCTGAAAACAATGAAGGACAAGTACTTGAAGTACTTCATTTTCTAAATTGCACAGTGTTTTGTCACGTTCCTTGACCTGAAGAAGATCGTGGAACTCTTGGTTGCAGCAGAACCGGTTCTTCAGGTTTCATTCCACATGTTTGGGTGCAACTCACCAGACAAAGGCAGGAAATTCCTTCGGAATGTCATCGTTTGCTGTACAAGGCGTCGCCGTCAGACTCCACACCTGGACACACACGTCACCTGACGTCATGTCTTTTCTAATGTTGTTCACCTTTTGTTCTTTGTTCCTGTGGTCTAAATGTGGCTGGGTTTGCCTTGAATCTTTCAAGTCCTTTACCAGAAAAAGGTTATATTTCTATGACATCCTAAGGATTCATAAGAACGACAGAGTTGGAAATTCCAACTTGTATTCCAACCCATAATACTCTAGCCTAAGAGTATTATTTCTATATTTTTTAGAACATGATGGCTAATCTTTTTATTAATTTTTAATTTTCCAGTCCCTGGCTCTGAACAGACACCTGGGCACCGGCAGTTACAGCTGGCAGTTCTTCCATGCCTACTGCAGCAGTAAACTCTGTAATGTCCTCTTCACATATGAGCTTGCCAAGAGGCTGAAAGGAAGTGATGTCACATGCTACAGCGTCCACCCTGGTAATGATCGCACTCCCACCGACACTACAGTCCATTTAGTCAATATAAGCCTAAATACATATATATATTTATATATATATATAAATAAGTCATACAGAAGATCAGACAGTGGCTACAAATACAAACATTTGGGTGTTAAATATGTTTTGTTTTTTTATTTACCTTTTTATTGACATTCAGCAACATATGAAAACATATACATTCATTTGGCATACATCATCAGGATTAATGTCTTTTTTTTAAATTATTTTAGTAAAATTAAAAAAACAACAAAAACATTCACACTTAGGGAATGAGGTAGGGTTATTGCTACAGACTGTATGCTATCTAAAGTAAACAGTGTCAAAATCTGAAACAAATAAATCTTTTTTGTACTTAACATCTTGTAGTTAACATCTGCAGTATTTCCAGGGTGTTGAAAAGGTTAAGTGCATAATAAGATTAATTGAATAATCTTACAATTAGTGCAATTAAATTGTATTATTTTCCATTAATTACGTAGTTCATGTGGAGAATTTAAATACTTTTTGTTCCTGCGTAATTTGTTTTCCTTTTAATAAATTAACTCAACACTTTTTTACCATATCTGCAATTCATCTAATTAAATTTTTTTTTAAAATATGGATTTTTTTTTAAATTTTAACTTGACTTAAATCAAAACTATTTCTCTGGCCCTGCAGGAGTTGTTCGTACAGAACTGTCCAGAAACGTCAGCCTGTGGCAGAAGGTCTTCATTGAGCCGGTGGCCCGTCTGCTCTTCCTGACTCCAGAGGACGGAGCTCAGACCACGCTGCACTGCGCCCTGCAGGAGGGTCTTGAACAGCTGAGTGGACACTACTTCTCTTGCTGCGCTGCACAGGAAATGGGGGCAAAGGCCAAAGATGATGCCGTGGCCCGGAAGTTGTGGGAGTTCAGTGAGATGCTGTGCGGCCTCTCCTGAAGTGGACCGCAGATGATGGACTTGAGATTTTTTTTTCTATCAGCTTTGCTTGAAGTGTAAATACATGCATAACAAAAGTCTGAGAATTTAAACATCTTTTTTTTTTTTTAATACCAGACTTAAGTGTAGTACAGAAATAAAGGTTTTAGACACTGGGCCCTAGACAAGGCTAATAAAACCAATGTCAGCTCATGTTTGTTATATCAAAAGAGATGGCTTTTTCAACAGAAAACTGATGTCTGTAAAACACTTCAGACTTCCAAACCAAAGTTTAGAGAAAATTAACTGCCTCTATCCTTAAGTTCAATCGTTTCATTTGCTGTTTTAAATATTTCAGCAGAGAGCATGTCAGAGATGCGGTGACCTCTAAGACAGCAGTAGACTCTGTGTCACTAACAACTACAGTGCCTTCAAGAAGGATCCACTCAAGTCAGATGTTTTCACCTTTTATAAAAGAAATTGTGATCAATGTCATTTTGCCTTTTGTAGTTTGCTTAACAGTTCTCAGTTGGAGTTAACCTCCATCTCTCCTGTTGGCATCAAGGTACAGGGCACTGATAAAGTGGCACGTTGAAACATTTTATTAGTATTAAGTAGAAAGATGTAGCTTATTGTTCTCTAACTGCAGAGCAGCCAGCTTTACTGATTAACCAACATTTCACTTTCTAAGAACTGGGACCAGGTTCCTATGGTACGGTCCATGTTGTCAGCCAGTGTCTGCTGTGATGGCAGCTCTTACTCATGTCCATGTTGTCAGCTAGTGTCTGCTGTGATGGCAGCTCTTACTGTATATGTGCTGCCCCACTTTCTTCATTTAGAAAAGAACTATTGCATTTATACACTTTAACCAAGAGATTTCCTGGATGGGCTCATCACTAAAACTGCCATTTTTATTTAAGACAATTTTCAAGCCAGTTTGTTTTGTGTAAGAGTTTATTATAATATTTTAACTTTTGACTCTTCTCGTGTATTTTCTGGGTGTTTTTAAAGAAATAAAAGACTATCTGTTGACCACAAGGTGACTCCAGGATTTTGTTCCATGTCCTGTTGCAGCTTTGTCAGTCTATGGACCTGAAGGCACGGTTGTGTCAGTCTTTACCCTTATTTAGGTGCTGGCAAAAAAAAAAAAAAAAAAATCAATTGTAACAGGTTTTTATGCCTGCAATCCCATATAAATGTAACATAACATGATCACATACGGTAGCAGTTAAACAGAAAGATTTTGCTTTACAGTAATCGTAAATACCTCATTTGCATGAACTTGATGTGGTAATATTTGCAGTTGTCCAGGTCAGGGCCAGATTCAGTGTCTAAGGCTATATCCCTTTAGATATATAATTTTCCAACAAAAATTTTAAATGCTACCTTTTACTCGGGTCTTTCTATACTTTCACATACGATGTCATATAGTGTCCAATCGTGTGTTCCAGATTACAGGGTCTAATTTGACGTTATCGAGAACCGCTACTAACAAAACAAGCCAAAAAGTTTGAGCTTCCCGAGTTTCCATTGAAGTGCACTTCTTTCTTCAACCAAGGGTCCACCTTGTGGTTAAATTGTAGAATTGTTGCTGATGAATTAGATTGGGTGTGTAATCCGAACAGGATGCAACATTACAAACGATGAGTTTTTGTTTAAAAGCATGAATGATTGCATTTGTTGTGATCGGTTACAAAACTCCATGATTCGGCTCCATAACCAGGAGCAGGTTTCAACACAGACACAGAAGTTCCAGTCTGTGGTTGAAGCCTCAGCTCTTCCAGAAATTCGGATTCTGGCTCATCCTCCTCTGAAAGTTCTCGTACCAACGACGGACGCAGCTTGACGGGATGAAGGTTTCGCTGGGGTTAGGCGTCATCTGCGCCTGCGACACGGCAAACGACGAGGCGTAGTTGTAAAGATTGTCCAGCATCTTGTGTGTGAAAAGATGGAAAGAGTCAACGGTGGACACGGTTGCACTGGACACGGGGACCTGTTGAGCTAGATGCTGCAGAGGCTCCACGGACACCCCGAGCTGAGCCATGCAGGATGTGGTGGCAGCGGTGCCAAAGGGTTGCGCGGGGGTGCCACCCTCCGCTAACTTCAGTCCAGAGATCTTGAAAATGGCGCTGGGCTTGTCATTGGTGATGAAGCCGAGCAGCTGCCACACAGGCCCATCACCGCCGCCCGGATTCGGGAAGCAGAAGTAGACGGCGCCGCCCATGCCGGCGGGGAAAGGCACTGTACCCAGCATGAAAACCACCACGTGATTGACGTTCTCATAGTCCGGCAGGTCGAAGACGAATTTGTCTGCGGCGACCTGCACCGCGTCCGTCTGCACCAGCCTCCCAGCGACCACACAACCGAACATTCCAACAGCTGGACCTGTAGAGGTGAAGTCAGCTGCTTGCTGAGAAACTTAGCATTAACTAGAGGGGCGGCGACACACAGTAGAAAGTTCGAGTAGCTCCCAGTAACAGACCGGAAATTGCTAGTTAAAATAAACTCCACATCAACGTTTATTTCCTTTTGTCCAGCTTCACTACATGGAAACAAATATATAAAATTCTAACATGTCGCTTCTCTAACTTATCATTTTGTAAAAACGGTAATAAACCATTTATTCCAATGTTTGGTTCAACGCTGTTGCTTTTAAATGTGCTTTAAAAATAACATTATTTTAGTTCTTATATTCAAAATATTAGCGTCGCAGGCTAATGATTTTTTTATAAAGAGCCAGAGAACTTGATTTAACTATGCAGCCAATCTTATCCACAACAAAAACACGTATACATGTAAACATACAAAAATAATTTTGACCGGATGTTACTTTTCTACTTCCGCCAACTTGCCTCTGTGGTCTGTGCAGTTCAGTTCGTGTTAGTTCGCAACATTTAAACAATTTAAACGAGCAAAGGAGTGTTTCAGGTGGTACACTTGTACAGAAAGGTACTGGAACGCCAACAAAAAATAATCAGGTAAAATTTAAGCGAAGTTACTTTTTTGATAGCTGACATGTTAGCCACCCTAACTAGCTGCGAAGCTAAAAGTTAGCACACTAGAAGTTGGTCACGTAACTGTGTAGAACTTAGAACGTAAAATCTGCAGCTGTCAGTGTCATTGCATGTCAGTTCTGTATCCTTTAACCCCGTTCGATATTTTCTACTGTCTTGCTCCTTGTGTATCTATTTTGTTTTTCTCCCTGGTTCACTGTGACTCTGTTAGTCTGCTATTCTGTTAGCCTTGTGAGTGTTAGCTCTATAGTTCTGAGGTTAGTTATTCTGCTGTCCTTGTGTCTGCAAACCTATTGGTTCTAGGAATTGACATTTACGAGTAAAAGTTCTTAAAAGACTTACAGCAAAGTTTTCTTTAAAACGTTTGTTTTGTCTGACGAGATCTGCACTTTATGTTATCACAGGTATAAAATATTCTGACTGTTCACTACCACGTATTTGTCTGTTTTTAAGGTAGTAAGAATTATGTATAAGGAGGACAGACAGCACTCTCCTCACTGACAGAAGAGAAGGGGTCGAAAGAAGTGAAGGAGATGGAGCACGCACACAGCCTCCTTCTAAATGAGGAGGTGTGCAGTCAGTTAAGTGAACATCAGAGGGCGGAGTTTCTTTATGAATGGCTGAACCACTTGAAAAAGCTGCTGCTGGTCACTGACAGGGTGAGAGCCTTCAGCACTTCCTATCACAACATGTGAAAACATTACTAAAATATATTTCCATCCTTCTTTTAATCTGACACATTCAAGAACAACTGTTTAAATTTGGTGCTTTCAAAGTTTAAAAAGTTCTAAAATAAATCCTGACATGATATTTTTCTGTTCAGGTCGACATCAAACAGAACCAGCGGCGTCTGGTGGACCAGCTGTCTGGTATTCTTACTGGGTCCCCGGGCCCACCTACCCGCTGGCTGCTGGCCCACTGCTTATCTCTTCTGTACCGCCTGGGAGACCCCCTCCCTAGTAGCCTATTGGTGGACAGGTGCAATGACATCATCCGTAGCAAAGACGATTCACCGTCAGGCCTCCCCACGAGACTGTAAGACATTATTATTTTATACATAATCATTTAAACTTGTGGCTCACCAGAAAGAACATCCATCAATGATAGTTAAGTCAGTTGTTTTTCTTTTGAGCAGTAAATGTACAATACAAAGGAAACTGACATGCTTGTTATATGTTTTAGGGCGGCTATAGCCTGTATTGGAACTTTGTTTGAGCAGCTCGGTAGGATGCTGGTCGGCTGCTTCAGAGAAACTCTGACCAACCTGCTGAAGGCAATGAAGAGTGCTGAGGTTGGTTTTTGTTATTAACTAACACATGTCTAACATGAATTGTATGGTACAAAAAACTAGATTGTTCAGAATGACAGAAAAAACATGTGGTGTTGCTAAAAATGTTTATCTTTAGTCCCAGGGTCGATATGAGATCATGCTAAGTTTGGAGAAAATCCTACGAGGTTTGTCCACTAATGCTGTGCCGTGTCACCGTGACATCTATAAAGCTGCGAGATCGTGCCTGACGGACCGATCTATGGCTGTGCGCTGTGCTGCCACCAAGGTAATACGTTCCTGACCTACACGTACACTTACGTTTCCTGTCAGTGAAAGATTGGTATGCAGGGATGCTAACATCTGTTGTCTCCAATTTCCCCAGTGTTTGTTGGAGTTGCAGCGGGAGGCAGAGTTCCTGTGGACCAGTGAGCTTGAAAATGTAGCAACACTTTGCTTCAGGGCCTTTGAGGGCTCCAACTATGACGTCAGAGTTTCTGTGGCTAAACTGCTGGGAACGCTGCTGGCTGCAGCCATGGAGCCACGTCAGTCCACAGGTAAATAATATAAAATACCGTGTGGTTTTCATTACCCAGACACCTTTATTTTGTCTCATGCAATAGTCTCTTGTAGCAATGAAAGTTAAAATACACCAAGGGCAGTCCAGGGCATCTTCCTATTGGTCCTGATTGGTCAAGATTCTCTTTAAAACAAAGCCACGAAAAATGTGAATAACTGTAGTGTGTTATAATGTTTACCTCGTAGTATTACAGATCTTGAACCTAATTCATATGTGTATTGTCTTTTTTTCGCCCATCAGCCCCCAGGCCCGTGGGGCGTGGTCGCAGCTCTCTGGAGGAGGCGATGGATTTGTTGATGGCAGGTTTTGTCCGAGGAGGAGCTGGTTTCCTCAGAGTCAGTGGAGACATGCTGAAGGGAACGAGCTCTGTCAGTAAAGACATTCGTATCGGCATCACTCTGGTGAGATGTTATTGATCACATGAGTAGAAATTGTCTTTGCTCCTCCTCCTCCTCGTTCATCTTAACTGTTAGGACATGAGTAACTGGACCTTCTTGGTTTCTAGAATGATGTGATTTACCTCACATTTTTTCTACCTCACTTTCAACATGCTTCTTCACTTTTAAAGTTCAGTTCAGAACCAAAGAAGCCTCTTGCGTGAGATGTGTAACTCCCTGTAAAAACCAAGATATGTCTTCACAACTTTGGATAAAATGACCAAGATGACAAAGAATGTACAGACTAATTTGTTGTAAAATGATGTGTCAAAAGATGACAAAGAATGTACAGACTAATTTTTCTCTTCTTTTTTATCCTCTCTTTCCTCTCCTCCTCTTTTGTCTCATATTGTTGTTGTCTTCCCTTCCTTGTTCTTCATCTTCTTTATCCATCTCCAACCATTTCCTTCTCAGTCCTGTGTGTTCATGGTTTCCACCCTTGGAGGCTCCTGGTTGGAAGCGAACCTGTCGTCCTTCTTGTCCCTCCTGATGGAGCTGGTTTCTCAAAGCAAAGCAACCCACACATCAGGGGACGCAGCGGTGACACGCTGCTGCGTCTCATTCATCCTAAGGAGCACACTGGGCTCTCTGCTGGGGGAGAAGGCTCAGACCAACGCTGTCAAACAGCTCTGTGTCACTGTGGCCTCACAAACAGCCAGTGGTGAGTGGAGATGTGTGTGTTCTCAACTAGATTTCAATGGCAACACAGAAAATGTACAGTTGAATCAGTTAAACGAATTTTGCTGTGTTTCACCTTTACATGAACGTTTTTTGGAATGTGCCTCTATGTAGAGTTTCCACCAGTTTGTGTGGAGAAACAGACATTTTTTTTGTCTTTTGTTTTTGTGCAAATTAATAAAAACCTTTGTATAAAGTATACTTTATACTATAAAAATGCAGCAATATGTTTATTTATCAACTAACAAAATATTACGAGAAAATAATACGTTTTGAGCTGGAAAAGATCTGAGTTGTGTTTTTTGCAGACATTCTAGATGTTGTTAACATCTAGAATGTGTGTTTATTCACTGTCCTTAGATGGAGCAGGGACTGATGGAGTTTCAGCCTCAGATATTTCAGCCAATCAGCACAAGCTTGTCTGTTGCCTTCTGGAGGTTGGTGGACTAATTCAGGGACTGGGCTCCACAGCCACGCCCCTACTCACTGACACCAGCATAGGTCTGTGACACCAACACACACATACAACAAAACATATTTGTTGGGGGATTGAAAGTGTTTGTCAGTCATGTTTTATTAAAAAGTTATGTGTGTCCTTTTACAGCCATGCTGGACACAATAACCGCCGTCCTCCTCTACCCCTCTTCTCCTGCTGTTCTTGCTGCCGCCTGGTGCCTGCGCTGTATCGCTACAGCAATGCCTTCTTTATGCTCACCATTGCTGGACCACTGCTGCGAGCGCCTGGTAGCGCTGAAGTCGTCACCTGAGGCTGTGGTTGGATATGGAGCCGCCATCACTGCCCTGGTGGCCTCAGTGCAGCACTGCCCTCTAGGAATACCTCACACCAAGGGGAAGGTACAGTGATGCAACACTGTGATGACGTCAGTGTCGACATCCACAAAATTCTGGTCCGAGCTCACTGTGCTCTTAGTGGCCTAATCAAAAACCATTTGAAATAAGGGCTGACTCTTAGTGTAAACATGTCTGACCCACAGAGGAAGACAGATTCATCCAGTAATAAAATGTATATGTAGACAGCTGTTGTTTCACTGCTTACCTTCTCAAACTGAAGTCAAAAGAGAGTATCAGTTACAGTTCAGACCGTTGTTTCCCAAAGAGTGGGTCGCGACGCTCTGGTGGGTCGCAAGAGATTTTTTTTGGGTCGTCTTGCATCATGTTTTCCAGGAGTTTATGAATAATGTCTATTGACTTGGGTCATGAAGGTTTGTGACCCAAGAAAATAAGTTGGGGAAACACTGTTTTTGTAAAATTAAAATGTAATTGCTATATTCAACATTTAATTTTAGAAAACACTGGATTGACAACTCCCAAGTCATTTGGTATAAAATGAATTATTTTATCTGTGAAACCTCTGTTACTAGTTGAAGATATTGTTCATACACAAGACGAAACCGCTGGGTTCTTCCTGAAGGAACCCTAGACTTCACTTGTGTTTTGTTGACCACTTGTACAGGCTGTTCTTGCTCTGGCTGAGGAGCTCCTCCGCTCGGCTTCTCAGAACAGTCGCATCTCCCTGCAGAGGACTCAGGCTGGCTGGCTGCTCATCTCTGCCCTCATCACTCTGGGTAAACAATCTTCTCTGCGACAAACATAAAACCGATAAACAGATTCAGATACATGAAATTCATTGTGTTCTGCTCTTGTGTCTGTGCTTTTGTGTTCAGGCCCTGCTGTTGTAGAGCTACACCTCCCACGCCTCCTGCTCCTGTGGCGCTGTGTGTTTCCTGCCTCCCTAAGAGAGCAGGAGATGGAGCTGCGTCGGGGGGACTACTTCACATGGCAGGTTACACTGGAGGGACGTTCTGGGGCGCTCTGTGGTCAGTGTTCAGAAACAGATGTAACAGATCTCCGTGTGTGTTGATATTTATTACACTTGTTTTTGTGTGTGTGAACAGCAATGAAGAACCTGCTGCTGCACTGCAAGGAGCTTGTCACTGATGACATCATCAGCCGTCTGCTCACACCATTGGCCTGCGCTGTGACCCTGCTCACAAAGTCAGTTCCAGTCTTTTCGTTAAAAGTCTGAACTTATTTGTCCTCTAAAATAGAGCTGAATTTTGATTTTTGTTCATGTTGTGTGCAGGTTGCCTCTGGTCAGCTCTCAGAGCAATTCTGTTCGTAGTTTCTCACTCATCTACAGACTGAGGGTGTATGAGCTACTCACCCTGCTGCCTCCACAGACTTATCAGGGTGACATCACTCTTCCTGCTTTCTTTTTTTTAATTTTTTGTTCTTATGTTCTTTTCTCTCTCCCTCACATGTTCAACCCCGTTCCAACCCCAAGTCTTTTCGCCTCTGTCTCTGCCATGTCTTGTTTTCTGCAGCTATCCACCCCCCCCGCCGCCTCCTTTTCTGTTGTGCTCTTCAGTCTCTCTTTTCCTCATTTATTTTATTAACGAACAGATGAATCCATTGGTCTGATTAGTCATTACTTCCATCTCCTCCCCCTGCAGAAAGTTTTGGTCTGGTAATGAACCAGCTTGTGTCTGATCTGTGTGGTCATGACAACCTGAACCAGACATGTTCAGAGTTGACTTTGCTGCCCCCTCTCTGTCACCACAATGACCTGCCACTCGTTGGCCCCGCCCTTCTCGACACTGACCACAGATTTGTAGAGAAACAGGTGATGCTTTGTAACAAACCAGAAACATGTAAAACCACAAGTGTCCGATCAGTCTGAACGAGCAGTCGCTGTGTTTCTTCACTTCAGCTGAGTGGCAGCAGCGTGGGTGGGACCTCTCTGGACAACGACCCCTTCTGTCTGTGTGAGAGGAGTGATGATGCTCCTCCTGCTCCACTGCCTCCTCCAGTTGAGCTGACTGCTGCTGCTGTTCATCTGTTTGGAGTTGTCTTCCCTCATATCATCTCTGCTCAGAGGTGAGTGACCTGAAGTGACCCCAGCCAATGAAGTGACCTAACTGCTGCAAACCTGGAAACACAGAATTAGTACAAATGGATTTGAGCCACTTATTACTGAGCAAAGAATGTCCTTGTTGTGTAAGTCTTATCTTCATCATGTGCAATACATTATTTTGCTCAGTCTCTCTTTCTCTCTTTCATTAGAGTGAAGATATTAGAGCAGTTTGTTGACACTGTGAACAAACTAAAGGGTCAACGGCAGCAGTCTGTCCAAACCCATGTCTGTGCTGCCCTCTGCAGTCTGCTTAAGGTACAGTACAAATGAACTCTAAGGCTTTGTGTGATATTACACAGTCAGCACACATTAGTAGACATATACCTGTCTCTGTAACACTGATGATAGAACATGAAGGCAGCAGAATTCTCCTTGAAGATGACAAACAAAACTGGGTTCTTATCATTACCAGCACCAGGGCAGCACACGGGCCAGTCTGGGGCCTGAGGAGATGCGTGCTCCAGCTTTAGCCCTACTGACAGGGGCGCTAGAGAGCTCCAGTCCTTTGCTGCGCTGTCTGGCAGCTGAAGGATTGGCTCGTTTGGTGCAGGTGGTGGGAGAACCGGGCTTTACTGTCTCGGCTTCTCTGCTCTGCTTTGACAAGTGAGTGGATGATTATACTCCCATTCATATATCTTTGAAGTTCAGAGTTCTTATTTAACCATACTAAGATATTAAGTCACACAGTGGTATGGTACTAATGGTGCCTGGGCTCTGTTCCTGAATGATCCTGGCTGTTTAGGTTAAAGAATGTTCGAGATGCAGCATCTCGTAGTGGTTATGCTCTGGCTCTGGGGGCACTGCACCGTTACAGCGGAGGAATCAGCTCAGCTCAACAAATGTCCACTTCTCTGGGAGTCCTGTTCACCCTGAGCCAGGACAGCACCTCACCTGAAGTCCAGGTATGGTCACATTTGTTTATTCTGGATTCACCAATATAGAACAGAGTCTAACTCTTGATAATTGTCTCTTTGGCTTGGCAGACCTGGTCTCTCCACAGTCTTTCCCTGGTCATGGACCTGTCCGGTGGCCTTTATCAGGCTCATGCTGAGCCCTCTTTCACTCTGGTGCTGAGGCAGCTTCTTTCTGCTCCACCGACACATCCTGAAGTCCACAACAGCCTGGGCCGCTGCCTGCATGCCCTCATCACCTGTCTGGGTCCAGATCTGCAGGGTAATAAAGTCAAGGCCAGCTAATTATCAACAGCCTGGATTGGAGCACAACAGAACTGGAGGACGTGTCTGACTGTGGTCTGTGTTTTCTGTCAGATGAAGGTGCAGCCATGTCCGCTCTTCGCTCCAGCTGTCTGGTGGCCTGCGGAGTCATGCAGGCCAGTCAAGACTGTCTGGTCCAGGCCAGAGCCATTGCCTGTCTGCAGCAGCTGCACATGTTCTCGCCTGTGCATGTCAACCTGGCCGACCTCGTCCCTGGTCTCTGCGTGAGTAGATTAAAAAAGAACAGGTCTTCTTGTTTTTGACAAGCTCTAAGATTTCGGATTTCAAAAGAAAATGTTAAAAGCACTTAGATTTCTATTCAAACTCACTCCTTTTAATCCTGTCCTACTTCCAAGACATTTCAAACTAAAGGACAGTGTCTGTTTCTAGTACACAGTCAATTCCACACAACCCATGGAGGAACATTTCCTGGTTATCTCTTAGAACCCTAGAACAGCAGCTGAAATCATGTATAGTATATTTTTGACCCTGTCTTGTGTCTTGCAGGAGATCTTGTTGGATTATTCCATGTTGGTAGGTGGAGTTCTGAAGCTGCTGATTCTCTCTGTCTTTTCTGCTTCACCTCTCTTTTATATTGGCTGTGCTGTAAAAACCTCTTCTTTTTATCTTTTTAATATGATTTTATTTATACAAACAGAAAAAATACATATTAGAAAGATAGAAATTTCAACTGGAGAGGAGTATTTGTGGAGTGTGGATTTCTTGTAACTTGAAGCCAGAAAACCTACAGTTGAATTGAAAAAATAGTTAAATTACCTAATTGATCCTAAATAAGCCTAATTGATTTTGCTGTCAGTGGTCAGTGTACTGACTACCCTGGTAAATTCTTCAAGTTGAATCCATAGAAAAATTCCACATAACTCTGTCTTTTTTTCATACGTTAACTAAGAGTGTGTTTGTTAGTTTCTTGTGACTGCAGAGCAGTCAATGGCTGAAAGCAAATCAAACAAAAGTAGTGAGTAGAGAAGTTTTGAAATAATGCATTTTATTATATAATATAGTAATCATTGTACTGCTCTGTAAAAAAACAGTCTTTGTTGGTTTTGGAACATTTTAACCATCTCACAGTTTTACTAACTTTAATGTATTAACAAACTAATGCTTTTTAACCATTTTTTCTGTTGCAGTGAAACTTGCAGCTAATTGATTAACACCAGTCTTCCCTTATATTGAACTCTCTTTTTATTGGTTGTTAATTCTCCTCTTGTGTGTCGCTTTGGATGAAAGTGTCTGCTAAATGTAGATGTATGTACTTACAGTGAGCCCAGCATGAAGTTTTTAGTGTTGTAATATAGAAGTATGTTGTATGTGAAGAAAGCTAACAAGAACATTTTTGTTCTCTCTCCTGCTCCAACACCAAAACTGTTGAATAATAACACACACGAGGCTCAGCCTTGGTTCAAGTCCCAGATTAGTAACTGTGTCCAAAGTCAACTGTGCAGTCTGTGATTGTCTGTTCATGTTTTTTTAAGGCTAACCTGTGCAGCTCGTACCTGTGCCTCCGCCGGGCAGTGGTGGCGTGTCTGCGGCAGCTCGTCCAGCGGGAGGCGCTGGAGGTTTCTGAACATGCTGTGACTCTAGTCAAGGAGTTGCCAAGACGAGACAACACTCAGCTGGGTAGAATACACACACACACACACACACAAGACAACACTCAGCTGGGTAGAATATACACACACACACACACATAGGCTCAAACAGAGAAGATAAAAATGATATAAACGAATATTCAAATCTGGTCCTGTATCTTTATTCAGACGTCACTATAAAGGAAGTAGGTCTGAAGGGAGCACTTTTCTGCCTGTTGGACCGAGAGTCAGATCCAGGTCTGAGAAAGGACATCCAGGAGACGCTGGTCCACATGATGACATCCAGTACCACCAGTGGTAAACTTGGACACTGGCTTAAACTCTGCAAAGATGTCCTGTCTGCAACAACAGGTGGGGTTGACTCTTTATTTTATTAATGGTGAACATGTTAAGGTTTGTTTCACTGATCAAAACCTCTGTGTATCTCTCCTCAGACTGTTCCTCACCAGCAGGGACACTTCAGCTGGAGGAGGAGGTGGAGTCCGGCAGAGATGATGACTCCTCAGTGTTTAGAGCTCACTCAGAGTCTGGGGGCCCGTTTACGGCTCTGCGCTGGTCCACGCGATGCTTTGCCATGGAGTGTGTTTGTCGTATTATTGCGCAGTGTGAAACTGCTGACTCGGCTCATTTTGACATGACTCTGGCTCAAGAGAGACGACTGCAGGAGTCTACAGGTGGAAACTCTGACCTACAAACATAAACAGACCGTGGTTTGTGGCAAAGTCTTAATGATCTTCTTCCGTCTTTCTCAGACTTCCTGGTTCTCCATCTTGGTGACTTGGTTCGCATGGCCTTCATGGCAGCCACAGATCACAGTGACCAGCTGAGACTGGCAGGTCTGCAGACCTTGCTGGTGATCATCAGGAGGTTTTCCACCATCCCAGAACCAGAGTTCCCTGGTCATGTGATCTTGGAGCAGTACCAGGCCAATGTAAGGAGTGAAGACGAAGAGCATTAAACAAAGAACATTAATAGAAAATAAATGAATGAGCACCAATTAGTACATTTTAAATATTGACTATAAAAGGTTAGAGTGAACAGATAGTGCCGCATTCATAAAAATTTACTATAAAAGGTTAGAGTGAACAGAAAGTAGCAGTGGGGTTCTAACTGTCCTGTTTTGATGTGAAGGTCGGTGCTGCTCTCAGACCAGCCTTCTCTGCTGATGCCACTCCTGATGTCACGGCTAAAGCCTGTCAAGTGAGGAATCATCATGACTTTAGTTTTACTTGAACTTAGATCTTGTATAAATAAAACCTTCATCTCTCTGCTCCGCTCTAGGTCTGCAGCGCCTGGATTGCTAGTGGCGTTGTCAGCGACCTCCGTGACCTGCGTCGTGTCCATCAGCTTCTGGCCTCCTCATTGGTTAAAGTCCAGGCTGGCAGAGACCTGTTCACTCAACTGTACAGTGAAGCTACAGCAACAATGGAAACACTGGCAGTTCTGAAGGCCTGGGCTGAAGTGGGTTCATTTAGACAAAATGTTAAGTATGTAAAAACATTGTGATGTTTGAAGCTAAGGTTGTATTTTGTTTTTGTCTCTCAGGTTTACATTGTAGCTGTTGAGAGGAGCAGACAGATCAACATCTCTGAAAGGATGGACGACCTGTCGGTGTCCTCCCAAGCCAATGACTGTTCAATCAGTGGGTCCGAAGGGGCGGGGCTGCTGAAGCTGGTCCAGTCAGATCTGACAACCCTGAGTCGTCTGTGGTTGGCGGCGCTGCAGGACTCGACCCTGCTGACGCTGCCTCAGGAATACACAGCACAGCTGCCTGCAGCAGGTGAGAGCCCAAACATCTTGTCATATTTGTTGATTTCAGGAAAGCAACTAATGAATAGTGATATAGCTGATTTATTTAAATAAATATTATAATATTGAAAGGTCATCATATTTCAATAGGTTCTGGTTTTAAATAGGTGTGGTTATGTGAAAAAAATCAACAAATGTAGATAATGACATCTGGTTAGTAGTGAAGATGTTCATCCTCTGCTGACTCCATCAGTGAGTTTCCAATGAGTTATTTTGTGACTGTATATTTTTACCTCAGTGGCATAAACTGACCACAAGAGGCAGCAGTGGACCACAAGCTCCTGTTTATCTGTGAGTTGAGATCACAGATTGTTTTTATGCATTTCAACAGGAGGCTCATTCTACACAGTAGAGTCGGTGAACCAGGTCAGAGCTCATTACTCCTCCTCCTGGGCTCCCATCCTCCATGCCACCTCCCTCTGGCTGCACAGTACAGGTCTGCTCACCTTCTCAGGCAAACTCTTCTTTTTGGCTCCTCCCTACTCCTCCTTACTCCTATTCTTCTTTCCCCTTTAAGGTTTTGTGATGTTAGACGATTCACCTGCAACTCTGTCCAGACCAGCTACGCCCACAACTATGGGGCACACAGACTCCAGGGGTAAAGTCAAGAGTCAAGAAGACGTGAGCAGTGAGAGACTGAACCTGATCCTGGGTAAGATGGCAACTCAATTTCTTATTACACACAGTTTAAACTGTGATTTAGTGACGTTGGTGTATCGTGTGTCTGATCAGGGATCAGTGTGGAGTTCCTTTGCTCCCCACACTCTGAGAACCAAATGGAGAACATCACGTCCTGTCTCAGAGCTCTGCAGGCACTGTTTGATGTCCCTTGGCCCCGTGCTAAGATTGGAAATGATCAGGTAAACTTCTAAAACCATCTACGTAGGATTCAGATGTTGGCACAAAATCTCTACCGAGAATGGAAACACCAATGTTGAATTGAATTTCCTAAACTGAATGTGTTTTCACCGGTGTGCTCCAGGCTCTTAGCGTGGAGCTGCTCAGCGTTCTGCACAGACTCATGGTGACTCGGGAGGCGGTGTCTGTTCAGCTCCCTGTCCTGGATTTGCTGCGTCAGATTGTGACGGCAGCTCAGGAGCATGTCAGGGAGAAACGCCACAGTGCTGAAGGTAGAGCAGCTCGGTCACTCCAGTTGACTAACAAGCTTTGCATTCAAAGTCTTAACAGTTACAATTGGTCCATAGTTGACGACGGTGCTGCAGAGAAGGAGACGCTGCCAGAGTTTGGGGAGGGACGGGACACTGGGGGTTTGATTCCTGGACGCTCGCTGGTATTTGGAGCTCTTGAACTCTGCCTCTGCGTTCTGATCCGGAAACTGCCACAGCTCAGTCCCAAACTAGCCGGAACCAGTCAAAGTGGTACGTGAAAGAGGGTAAAAGGGGAGACATCAGATGTTGTGACAGCAAAGGAGGATGACATCTGAGTGTGTCTGTGTGTTTGGTGTGTTAATCAAGGTCCTGCAGGTTCAGTGTGGAGTCTCAGTGACACTGACTGTCAGCAGGTGGCGTCTGCGCTGGGCGTCCTGTCTGAGCTGCCGTCCATCTGCTCACCAGAGGGTGAGTTCGTTAACTGACACAGACAATAACAACTCAACTGCTTCTTTATAAAAATAGTTAATTAATTAGATTTAAATGGATTTCCATTTAAATGGGACTTTTACAACCAGCTCATAGCTATATCTGTTACAGTTGTGTTATCAGACTTAGAATCCAAAGGGCACACAGCCAACTCAGGTGATGTCAACGTCCCATGTAAGTCACGTAACCCCCCTTTCGCACCTTGACCCAGTGATCATACAACTTGCTATTAGGTCAAGGAGTGGTCCTCTATTTTGCTTTGCTATAACGACTCACTTTTCAAGTATTCAGACACTCTGAGGCTAAACACCAGCAGCTAGCTTGAATTGAAAAACCCTCTTTGATGAGAGGTGAAACATCTTAGAGAAACCAAGACAGCCCAGCTTCCTTCTACTGAACTGTTTCAGACTGAAAATCTAAAAAAAAAAGTTTTGTTTGTTTATAATAGTATGAAAAAGTATGACTTTATTCACTAAATACATGTGGTAAGTGCAGTGCATTTGTATGAAAGAGATCTGGTCTTTGTTTAAGTTAAATAGTCATCTGTTATCTTACAGGCAGTGTTTCCATCCTCCCTACTGTCCTCTACCTGTTGCTTGGTGTCCTCAAAGAGGTTGTCCACCAGCCCAGCACACACACTGGTAAAACACACACACACACAAATACATTCTTGTTCTTCTTGTAATACCCTGCAAACAAATAGACATTTCTGCTACCAGGGCCAGGGGATACAGCTGGTCTAGGTCTGGTGGAACAAGCAGTTCTTCAGGCTCTGAAGTTGGTGCTGACATCACCAATGAGTCGACAGGAGAAGAGTGGAGGAGCCTGGAGGATGCTGCTGAGATCAGCCCTGAACACACTGCTGCATCTGTGGGAGGCTGGTAAAACAACAGATGAACAAACAGAATGAACTTCGATTTTATGAAAAGAATGGAAATACGTTTGTATATTTACTGTGTGTTTGTATATATCTGTGTGTGTGTTCTTAGGTGACAGTGTCGTGGATCACAGATGCCTCCTCACGGCCCTCACCGTCTTCCTGCTCTCTGCTGGTCCTGACGTTTGCATCGTAGAACCTCTGCTCTCACTCAGTCTGCAGCACTTCAGAGCCAGCATGGAGGCCAAAGACCCACGGGTCAGTGAATAACACACACACACACACACACAAAGACTTCATTCTACACAAACAATGACAGCAACCACTTTTTTAGTTGTTTAACCCCAAATTAAAAAGTATTGGATTTGAAAAAGTTAGAGCACGGACACAATGTCAAGACAGAACAGATGAGTTGACGTTGGTTGAACTGGGCCACTGTGATGATAAAACACTGGGCCTTTTCCAGGCCCCCTGACCTCTGACATCTCTCCCTTGGAACTGACAGAACTAGGTCAGGACTGAGGTTCAAAAATGTGAAAGTGTAGCTGGAGGAAAGGAATAGATACATGTCATGACTGCTACTGTAGGCGACTACCTGCTCCAAACCAGGCTTGTAGTCAGGTTTGAGTTATCCTGACTCCAGACCAGGCTTCTGCTATGTCTGCGGCACACAGACGACTATCTGTGAAAAAGATGTTGAACTTATCCTCTGACCTCTTTTCAGGTTCGGAGTCTCTGTTTTCAGCTGCTGACCTCGATATTCCAGGCCCAGTCAGCAGTGGCCGTGCCGTACATCCAGGCCCTTGGCCCAACGTTGTTTCATTTCCTGCAGGTCAGAAACACAGAGAAACCTCAACCCTATCTCTCTATGAAGATTATAGCAGAATAACAATGAGGTTCAAATGACGAAGATGTGTTGACAAATATTTTGTTTGTATTATGTTTACCTGTGATGGTTTGATGGCTGATGTGATCAGAAGGTGGAGAAACATCGTCCTCAGACTCAGGAGGATCTTGTGGGAGTCCTGGAGGGAGTCCAGGCTTTGGAGGCCCTGGTCCAGGCTGCAGATGAGCCTCAGCGTGAGTACACACTGAGGGTTTGTGTGTTTTAAGACTCTGCCTCCTCCATCACTGAGTTAACCTCCTGCCCCCCCACCCCCACCCCCATCTGACCTCCAGGTCCTCAGCTGTTGACTATTCTACTACCACTCCTCATCTCCTTCTTGCTGGATGAAAACGCTCTGGGCTCAGCCCCGGCAGCTTCACGCTCCCTCCACCAGGCTGCGCTCAAGGACTTGATGCGTCTCGGTCCTCAGTACCCCACTGCCTTTAGGTATTGGCTACAGATGGACCTCAAGGTCACCTGAGATTAGTCACTACAGTTAATTAAGATATTAATAGAATAGGATTCTTGATCAACCAAGGAATGGAAAAGGAATGAGTAGCTGAATTTACCAAGCTGCCCAAACTTGACCTTAATTTTACCATTTTTATCTCAAACAAACTAAAGATAATACACAAATTAACTATTTAGTCACAATTTTGAAAAAGTAAACTTAAGCCCAAGACTAATTACAGCTTTACCACAGGTTAGCCAGTTAATTATTAACTACTGGTTAACCACTGATTATTTGTACGGATTAATCTGTAATCAACCACAGTGTTATATAACCCTGGACTAATAACTGAATTAAAGATTTAATTAATGCCAATAGAGGTTTTGAATAATAGGTATGAAAGGCAATCAACCACATGTATGTGTTTAACAGTGGGTGAAGTTGTATTCTCATATTTTGCTCCACCCCTCTAAGGTCTCTCATGACGTCGTCTCCTCACCTCAAGTCCCGTCTGGAAGCTGCCGTCAGAGGAAACCAGGAGAGCGTGAAGGCTAATGCTAACACAAATCCTCGCAGTACTGCCAAGGCATCGCCCAGCATCAAACTGAAAACAAACTTCCTGTGAGCTGCTGCTGCTTTAGCTTCAGAAAGCAATTCCTTTAAAAGGCAACCTAGATTCCCTCTTATCCAAGTTTTCCAGTCACTTTTGACATGAGTTCTTGGACTTTAGCTCATGTTCATGAAGCATCAGCTGTTAGTTTTACTTTAACTCCTAATAGCAAGTGAGACTCTCGTTTTTTTATTGATCTATTATAGACTTGAACTAAACTAACTTTTGCAAAAACAATACAACAATCACTTTGATTCTCAGCTAATCAATAGATCAATCAGTGAGTGATGGTACAGTGCTGAATACACTCTTTAATAATAGCCTCATTCCACCTGTCATTACAGGTACAGTGAAAGGGGATTAAAACTTGTCTATTGTAAATAAAGTACAGGCACAACATCCACAAAGACTGCTCTGTGAGCGCCCCCTGCTGCTAGAATCAAGTTGACTGACTGAAGAGGTCCATAGAGAAAATCTGCCATTTTACATCATTACACACAGGAGTGGTTGATACTCTGTTGTCTGCATTCATATGTGTAAACTTGTTGTTTTCTAATGAAAATGTTTACAATTCACTTCAGTTACACAAACTGACCACATGAGGCAGCAGCAGACCAACCTGTTCCTGTGTTTGCTTGAGGTTCAGTTGTTGTTTTTCTGGAGTTTGGGAGAGTAATGTGTTTTTCAAATTTCCTTTTGAAAGGGTGTCAGATATGTTGTAGATAGAAAAGGTGAGCCAACACTTTACAAAAACCTTTACCTTAATTGTCATTTGCCTTGACACAGTCCATGTGACGACACAATCAGTTCAAGATGCTGACATGTCCTGAGCATCAACCTAGCATCCTCAAAACATTTTGCACAAAACATGTTTTTGACCTTTACATCAGATGTTTATCCAGTTTACCTCTGTTTATTTTCCCCAGCGGTGTATATTGTATGATAATTATAACCATTTTGGCTGCTCGATACTGATAGGGCACCACAGTCAACATATGAGAGACACTAACGTATATCTTTTTAGAGATGTCTTTAAGTTTAGTAATGTTTAATGTCAGCAATTACAAACATCACAGATGTTTGTATAAATGTAGAACACCTAAGAAAGACAGCTGTAAGCCTTAATGTTTGTTTTATATATTAACTTCAGGTAGGGAATGTGGACAAACGGCTGTTTTAGTCTGTGAAGAGTGTTACAGATTCCTCCAATGCTTGAAAAAGATATAACTACATGCACTATCTCTTAGTTACAAAGTACCAAAAAACACTAATGATGAGAAAGCAATAATCTGTGTGTCTGTACATGTGTGAATAATGTCACATGGTTTCTAACTTCAATAAGGAAATAAAGATATTTCTCAACGTCAAGACTCCCAGCTGCCGTTGTTTAAAAAAAAAATTTAATTTAAAGTTTGTGTCACAGTGGCAGAACTCCTACACCGAAATAAACAATAAGTGTGTTATAAATAAAAAATAATACACATTTGAATGTATAGAATGAGGCAGCAGTGGATGACAATGTGTGTGTTGTCAAAAAATAATGTTTTCCCTATTTACTATTTTCCCTACTTATTTACCAGCTTTACTTAGAAACACAAGATATAAATGAGTGTAATAACCACTTTTATTAGAACCAAAACAAATAGTTGACACATAAAGGGGAATTGCTTATTGAAAACAATTACAAACGTTTATTTACAAAATAAAAATTAGAAATATTTTCAACATATTTTCAAGGTCGACATCTTATTTTTAATGAAATCGTTGCGACGTCAGATCACGTGTGTCACAGCTGATGTTTTTAAAGTTAAACTATCTGACGCGACTCCTTGTGCTGCCTTCATGGCCAGTTGGAAATAATCTCCACTGCGGATCTATGCGGATTAGTTTATCTCGGATACACTTGAAGACCTCGGGAAATTGAAAGACGATTGTCTCTATTTCAACTTTTTGTTTTTCAGTATTCTAATAACAATAAAGGTCACTGCAAACAATAAGTACTATATGTCAAGCAAATTATGTTTATCTACTATAAATAAAGAAATGCAATAGATATGGGCTTCGAAACCCCAAATGGTAATGGGCAATTCAAATCATATTTAACTGATTCGCCATTTCAAATCTGTATTTTTACTGTTGTATTGAATGAAAAACGACGACAACGTAGTATTTTGAGTCATTTTAAGTTACTTCTAATCTTATTAATACTTTCAAAATTGTAATGTTTTTGTACATTTATTTCTTCCATATGTCTGTTTTATTTTGGTATTTTTATTAAGTCTTTATGGCTGTACCAGTTGAAACAAAGGCATAGAAGTCATCGTCATCATCCCCACAAATATACCCCAGAGTCGTGTATGTTTGTAATTTACGAGCTTGTTGTGATCACCTGAACGCAGCATCTTCGTCTCTCCATTTCAGTGGCTCGGGTCATCTTCGCCTTCTCAGCGGCCGCTGCGACTTCTCACCAGCCGCTTCACGGAAATGGAAACGCCTTGACTTTTGTATAAAACGACGTTAGCGACACAAACCTATTATTTCTGCCTCCACTCAGATCCCGAACGTCCGTGTGGGTGACGCCACCGTTTGTCTCTGTGCCAAGAATAAGCGGTGAGTGACTCGTCCCGCAGGTAAAACCCTGAGAATCGCAGCAGCGGCGTCTCTCGTGGTGATTGTCCGCGATCGAGCTGCGGCCTCCCGGCTCTCCCGGAACTTGAGATCCGCTGCTCGTGTTCGGAGTCCCGAGGCCGCGTAGGCGCTTAGCTTTTCAGTGGGAGTTTTACGGTACATTTAAACTAGATAACATGTATAAGCTCATATGTTAAAGGTTCAATTTAACAGCAAATCATATCTAAATTACTTCGTTTGCGTAATTTTAAGTTGGTGTTGGGATTAGCTAGCGTGGTGCTAACAGGCTAACCTGAGCCCTGGGACTTCGTGGGTTTAACTTTGTTTTTTTGAACTCGTAACAAACATGGTCCGGGCCTCATATTTGTTTTGGCAACATTTGTTGGGATCTCCATTCTGTTTTACCAAACTGACCATAGGAGTACGAATAGCTTAAGATTTCTCAAGTACCGGTGCAGATACCGGTATTGCTAAATAATACTGCTCAGTATTAAGACCCATTGTTTATCTGGTTCTACTGTTATTGTCTCTCGTTAAGAAAATGCGTTTATTTCTCTGGTCAGACTCGGACTTAACACGTTCTTAATAGTCTACCATAATAATAGTTAAAACCCAATTGAGGTCTACGGTGATATAGATTATACAAACTATACATTAGATATAATGGATAGAGCTACATCTGCTGAAAGCTGTGGTTTCAAGGTTAAGCCTTTGACAAGCACTGGAAGGCTTTAAAATGGCTTTCAAATTATAATATCATTTGTATACAAGGCTTTGTAAATAGAGGCAAGATCTTAATTGGGTCATTAACACAAATTATTTGGATGAGTCTGCTCTTTAATTGATATTTTTTAGTTTATAAGCATTTAAAACACAGAAAATAGACAATGCTATGAGTATGGAAGGTTGACTATTGTTTGATCAATTATTCATGGCCAAGTTCTTCTCTTTTCTTTTCCCAGTGTTTGACTGTGTCTAATGAAAACACATTGTACAAAACCCCACTTCTGACAAGACTGGAAAACATCTCAATTAACACTGTTCTTGTGTTGTTGGCTTTAAATGGAGTCAAAGGCAAAAAGTCATTAAATGGCATTACTATAGTCTGCTTGTCATGTGATTTGCATCTTCATCCACATCCCTCTAACACGACCAGTCCCTGTCGGACACATGGTAAATTTGCTTTTATCTAATGTTAACATGGCCAAAAAGAGGGACAAAAATAAAAAATAATGTCTGGTAGCTGTGACACGTAAGGTTTACATCATAGTCCAAGATCAAAGCGTCCCAGTGTAGTGTCAACAGGCACTTCCTGTAATGTGGTCATTGGTGTCTGTTTGTTGTTTTTGAATTTGGTAGTTTTTCTCCTAAAAAATTTTTTTTTTTAGTTTTCTGCCTGGGGTCAACATGTGGACCAGGGATGTTGCAAAGGTGAAAGAAAAGGTGGTCATAAAGTGTTGTGCTACCACCTGCAGGGGGCGCACTAGACGGGATGCAGTGCTGAGTTTCATAGACAATTGAGTTGGCAAGAGTATCTGTACAGACATCAGCATGTCAAGACACACGCAGGCTTCGCATTAGGCCTTAATCATCTAATCCTGCTGCCAGCAAACTCCCAGTATGCTTTGCTGCAGGTCTGTGCCAGAGCATCTGGACCTGAACTGTCAAATAATTAGCTGGTGCTGCCGAGCTGCAGTTCATGTGGTTTGTCTTAGGTCAACACAAACAGTCTTTGTTTCTTGAAAGCCCGTTTCAGGAAACAAAGATAAAAACAACAACAATCTTTTGTAGTTGTAAAAAAGTGTTTCATTTATAACTTTTTTTGCTCATTAACACTTTCAGTGGTAGCACATAAATATGTTTCAACCCTCATTAAGGCTTCATCAGCTGTTGACAGTAGTGGACGGTCAACCTGAATGACATGTCTCTGTGTTAGTCTGGATGTTTCACTCTGTATTCTTTGAACAGGTGATTTTTCTTCACTGCTGTAGTGATTCATTAAATCAATAAAAGCCATTTTTTTCAAGGTCCATGTAAAGTGTCTCGTTGTTGTAGACAGTTTGTTGTTCAACTGCTCACAGATGGTTGGATATAAAATGTCCTTTTCTACACTGTCCCCAGGTGACGAGACTACATGTCCCAGAATCCCCTCTGACATTTGCAGACTTCCTCCTTCATCTGCATTTCCTCTCTCCTTCCGTCCAGTTGGTTGGATGAGTCCCAAACAGTGTTACAATCCTGAGCAGTGATTGGGCGCTGAGCCAGGTGAGGAGACACGTTTTTTTTCTCCCTGTAATATAATTACAATAAAAACAATGTGTTCAGCTGTTGATGCTTTATTTCTAAAATACCACTGATGATAATTAAGAGTACAATTGGTTTTAGTGACTAGACAGAAGCTACACCTGTATGTATTTGAATGGTAGTAGCCATGTTCCTTTTGCAGGCTAGTGTCTTAATGACATCCTAGATCTTTTCATTCTCATTTCCAGGCTAGCCATCATGGCAGACGTGGACCCAGACACCCTACTGGAATGGCTGCAGATGGGTCAGGGCGATGAGCGCGACATGCAGCTCATCGCTCTGGAGCAGCTGTGCATGCTGCTGCTCATGTCGGACAATGTGGACCGCTGCTTTGAAACGTACGTTTTTTTTTTAACTTCCTTTTAGCGTCCTGGAGTCAAAGGTAGTTGGAGTTGGTGCTGATAATGTCTCCTCTCTCCTTCCAGCTGTCCTCCACGGACATTCCTTCCTGCTCTGTGTAAGATCTTCCTGGATGAGAGTGCTCCAGATAATGTGCTCGAAGTGACAGCACGAGCCATCACCTACTACCTGGACGTGTCTGCTGAGTGCACACGGCGAATCGTTGGGGTGGATGGAGCCATCAAGGCGCTGTGTAACAGACTGGTGGTAGTGGAACTCAACAACAGGACGAGCAGGGACCTCGCTGAGCAATGTGTCAAGGTAAGAACGCTGTTAGGCATGAATGACTGATCATTTAAGGTTAAGACATGATCCTAGGTTTCAGGGTTCTGGAACAGAACCATCCATATCATGCTACTGCTTTTGAGAGTCAATCTCGACATGTTGTGGATGCCAGAACAGAAGCTGTCCAGGATACCTCCAGTTTTACATCTGGTTATTGATCCATGCAGGTTCTAGAGCTGATCTGCACACGAGAGTCTGGAGCGGTGTTTGAGGCCGGCGGCCTGAACTGTGTCCTAAGCTTCATCAGAGACAGTGGCCACCTGGTCCACAAAGACACTCTGCACTCGGCCATGGCAGTGGTGTCTCGCCTCTGCAGCAAGATGGAGCCTCAGGACTCGTCTCTGGAGACGTGTGTCGAGTCTTTGTCCAGTCTCCTCAAGCATGAAGATCACCAGGTAAACCCTGAGATGCTCTCTTAGTCTTGCGGCCTTCCATAACTTCCTCTGTCTAAACTTTAAGCTCTGTGTCTTCAAGGTGTCAGATGGTGCCCTCCGCTGCTTCGCCTCTTTAGCTGACAGATTCACACGCCGGGGCGTTGACCCTGCCCCTTTAGCCAAACATGGTCTCACTGAGGAGCTGCTGTCTCGCATGGCAGCTGCTGGGGGCACTGCCTCGGGCCCCTCCTCATCCTGTAAACCAGGCCGGACTTCGACCGGTGGTGCCCCGTCTGCCCAGGACTCGAAACTTAGCAACCAGGTGTCAACCATCGTCAGTTTGCTATCGACACTGTGCAGAGGCTCGCCCCTCGTCACTCATGTATGTATCAAACACCAGTGCAGAAAAACGAATCGTGTTTACAGAGATTGCTAAAAGGTCACAAAACCTGGTCTGCTTTTTTTCAGGACCTGCTGCGTTCAGCCCTGCCTGACTCGATGGAGTCAGCTCTGGGAGGAGACGAAAGGTGTGTCCTTGACACAATGCGACTGGTGGACCTCCTGCTGGTGCTCCTTTTTGAAGGGAGGAAAGCTCTGCCCAAGTCTACCGCCGGCTCAACCAGTCGGATCCCTGGATTGAGACGTTTGGACAGCTCTGGAGAGAGGTCACACCGACAGCTCATTGACTGTATCCGCAGCAAAGATACTGATGCTCTGATTGATGCCATTGACACCGGAGGTATGAACACACTGAAACAAACTAAAAGTCTTTTTTTTTTCTGTCCTTATGTTAATGTTTTTTTTTTAATTCTCTGATGCAGCGTTTGAGGTAAACTTCATGGACGACGTTGGTCAGACGCTCCTCAACTGGGCTTCAGCTTTTGGGACACAGGAAATGGTAAAATTAATCATTTTCATAAAATTGCTTACTTTATTTTTATGTTTTTAAAACACTGAATCTTATTGAGTTTGTATAATTGAAGAATGTGTTAGAACTAGGGTTAAGTGAGGTCACTCAGGAAAAAAAACAAATTTCTTTTTAATAATTATTATTGCGTAAACTGTTTTAATGCAGCTGTAACATGGTTATTAAATGTGATAGATAAAATTGGAATGTGTTTGGTAAATGTTAATGACTTGATTCTTACTTTCAGGTGGAGTTCTTGTGTGAAAGAGGTGCAGATGTCAACCGAGGTCAAAGGTCATCCTCACTGCACTATGCTGCCTGTTTTGGGCGGCCACAAGTCGCTAAGGTAACAAAAACACAAACTCACTTATCTGCATTGAATTTCCAGCTCTTATTCCCAACAACAGTTTTGTTCATTCAGTTACGTTTAGTTCTTATTGTAACACTGGTGACAGAACAATGTGCTAATGCTGTGTTAACCTCAGGGTTTTTTATTGACATTTAATCACATGATTATGCATGTGTGTGTGTGGCTGCTTTTACAGACGCTGCTGCGTCACGGAGCCAACCCTGACCTGAGAGACGAGGATGGAAAGACTCCTTTGGACAAAGCCAGGGAGAGGGGACACAGTGAAGTGGTGGCCATTCTGCAGTCCCCTGGTGAGGAAACAGCTGACAGCTGCAGCTGAGCTCTACCCCGTTTGGAGACTGAGAGAAATTAGAAACGTCATTTGTGTGTGTACTTGTGTGTTTCAGGAGACTGGATGTGTCCCGTGAACAAAGGTGATGAGAAGAAGAAGAAAGATGTGAATAAGGAGGAGGAGGAGAGCAGTGAACCCAGAGGTGATCCAGAGATGGCTCCCATCTACCTGAAGAGACTGCTGCCTGTTTTTGCACAAACCTTTCAGCAAACCATGCTGCCTTCTATCAGGTATCAGATACACACACGCCAGAATGCTGCTTTTCATGACCGCCTCAGTGTTGATCCATAATCAGCAATGATGAATGATGAAAATGTAATTGTAGAAAAGCCAGTCTGGCTCTGATCAGGAAGATGGTCCACTACAGCAGTGAAGTACTGCTGAAGGAGGTCTGTGACAGTGAGTCTGGTCACAACCTGCCCACAGTGCTGGTGGAGATCACAGCCACCGTCCTGGACCACGAGGTAAGACTCTGGATAATAATCAAAATAACTTTTTTGATTTAAATGTTGTTATTGTGTGTCTTGTTTTTGATGAGGTGAATTTATGTTCTTACTTTTGTGTCAGGATGATGATGACGGTCACCTGCTGGCTCTGCAAATCATAAGAGACCTGGTGGACAAAGGTGGAGATGTTTTCCTTGATCAACTGGCTCGACTGGGTGTCATCAACAAGGTGTCCACTCTGGCTGGACCTGCTTCTGATGATGAGAATGAAGACGAGGCCAAGCCCGAGAAGGTAAACACTGACCTGTTGTCTTAAAACCTTCTCTTTTAGAAATGTAAAAACATGACAAGTGGTGTAGAGGTCATGATGACATCACAATAACACCCCCACCTCCCCTCCCACCGTAGGAGGAAGAGGTACAGGAGGATGCTAGGGAGATCCAGCAGGGGAAGCCGTATCACTGGAGGGACTGGTCCATCATCAGAGGACGTGACTGTCTCTACATTTGGTCAGATGCTGCTGCGCTGGAGCTCTCCAATGGCTCCAATGGCTGGTTCCGCTTCATCCTGGATGGAAAGCTGGCCACCATGTACTCCAGTGGAAGTCCAGAGGGTGGATCAGACAGTTCTGGTACAGATGAAACCCAATGCTGAAGTGCACAGCGGTGGCATCCCGTCTGGTTTTCTGCCTGTTATTGATATAACCTACTTTTGACTGTGCAGAGTCTCGGAGTGAGTTCCTGGAGAAGCTTCAGCGGGCGAGGAGTCAGGTGAAGCCTGTAACAGCCAGTCAGCCCATCCTGTCCAGTGTGGGACCCACCAAACTGACAGTTGGGAATTGGTCCCTGACCTGCCTTAAAGATGGAGAAATTGCCATCCACAATTCAGATGGCCAGCAAGCCACCATCCTGAAGGAAGACCTGCCGGGCTTCGTGTTTGAGTCCAACAGAGGAACCAAACACTCATTTACTGCCGAGACGTCGCTGGGTGAGTCCGAGCTTCAGTGCTACGCTGTGACATCACAGCCGAGGCAGCAGCGTGTCACTTATGATCATGGTGTTTGTATTTGTGTAAACAGGATCTGAGTTTGTAACAGGCTGGACTGGAAAGCGCGGCAGAAAGCTGAAGTCGAAGCTGGAGAAGACGAAGCAGAAGGTGAAGAGCATGGCCAGGGAGCTGTATGATGACCACTTCAAAGCAGTAGAGAGCATGCCCAGAGGAGTGGTGGTCACTCTGAGGAACATCTCTACTCAGCTCGAGTCCTCCTGGGAGCTGCATACCAACAGACAGGTACCAACGACCACAACCACAGAGACATAGTTCATGGGGGTTCAGTCTGTTCTGCCCTTTCATATCCATGCTTTTGTCTGTGTCCAGTGCATTGAAGGTGAAAACACGTGGAGAGACCTAATGAAGACAGCTCTGGAGAACCTGATTGTGGTGTTGAAGGATGAAAACACCATTTCTCCATATGAGATGTGCAGCAGCGGCCTGGTCCAGGCTCTGTTCACCGTCCTTAACAATGTCAGTGTGGCTCAGTGTTATGCAAATCTGCAGACAAACAGTGAATAGGATAAAAGTCCAACATATGGTTTTTTTTTTTTTTCCAGAGTGTGGAATTGGACCTAAAAAATGATTGTAAACCTTTAATGGAGAGGATCAACGTGTTTAAGGCGGCTTTCAGTGAAAATGAAGACGATGAAAGGTACGGAGGCATCGTGTCAGCTGATTGACAATGACCACAATGACTCAGACAGGTCTCTCACAATAATGGATCCAATCAGTTGTCTGATTATCAGAAATGATGTTCTTGTGTTTTTTGCAGCCGACCGGCTGTTGCCTTAATCCGTAAACTGATTGCCGTCTTGGAGTCTATCGAACGTCTACCTCTGCACCTGTACGACACTCCAGGCTCCGCCTACAACCTTCAGGTTAGTGGTGTGTCCCTCAGGTGTGTTTGTTTTACTCCTTACCTATGTCCACTGTTGCGGGACAAAGGCTCCCAGTAAAAAAAGATTAGAAACAAGATACTAAACCATGAGAAATGCGTGACTGGTGGATATCTCTGAGGAGGCAGTTTAAGTATAATATTCTCTAAAATATTTCCTTTTTTGATTTTATACTGGTCAGATCTTAACCAGGAGGTTACGTTTCCGTTTGGAGCGTGCGCCAGGTGAGACGGCGCTCATCGACCGGACTGGCCGCATGTTAAAGATGGAGCCTCTGGCCACCGTGGAGTCACTGGAGCAGTACCTGCTGAAGATGGTGAGGAGAGCGATGGACACATTTGAAAACAAGCAAGTAAAAAGATTTAATGCAAATGTTATGCTCGTCTTCCAGGTGGCAAAGCAGTGGTACGACTTTGAGCGCTCCTCCTTTGTTTTTGTGAGAAAGCTGCGAGAAGGTCAGACCTTTGCTTTTAGACACCAACATGACTTTGACGAGAACGGAATCGTCTACTGGGTCGGAACTAACGCAAAGTAAGAACAGCAATGCAAAGAACAGGGGTTTTTCGAGGCAGAAGTTAAATCGCATGTTTGAACATCCTTCGCTATATTATTGGAATTTTTTTTCTTTTTTAGGACGGCATATGAGTGGGTCAACCCTGCAGCCTATGGCTTGGTGGTGGTGACTTCATCTGAGGGGCGAAATCTTCCATATGGCCGTTTGGAGGATATCTTAAGTCGGGATAGCTCTGCCCTCAACTGTCACACAAATGATGACAAGAATGCCTGGTTTGCCATTGACCTTGGCCTCTGGGTCATTCCCTCAGCCTACACCCTGAGACACGCTAGGTAAAAACAAAAAACAAAAAAAACAACCCACAGACGCGTAGGACTACGCTGTGTGTAGAATAAGAGTGTGTGACTGGCTTTTTGTCTTTGTTTCCTCACAGAGGTTACGGTCGCTCTGCACTCAGGAATTGGGTTTTCCAGGTGTCCAAGGATGGTCAGAACTGGACCACTCTATACACACATGTGGATGACTCCAGCCTAAATGAGCCTGGGTATGAGCTGTAGCTGTGTGTTGATGAAGGATGTGCTGTTTCATGGTCATGACTTATGGCTTGTGTGTCTTCACAGTTCCACGGCTACGTGGCCCCTGGACCCATCCAAAGAGGAGAAGCAAGGCTGGAGACACATCCGCATCAAACAGATGGGGAAGAATGCCAGTGGTCAGACTCACTACCTGTCTCTGTCTGGTCTCGAGCTGTATGGAAATGTCACAGCAGTCTGTGAGGACCAGCTGGGTAAAGACCGCCTCTGCTCATGTCATGCTGACATCACTGCTTTCATTAGTGCATAACACATCAACATCAATCTTTCTTGTTTCTCTTAATGTATCAGGTAAAGCTGTTAAGGAAGCAGAGGCAAACCTGCGACGTCAGCGCCGCCTCTTTCGTTCTCAGGTGATGAAGTACATTGTTCCTGGGGCACGAGTCGTCCGTGGCATCGACTGGAAGTGGCGGGACCAGGATGGAAATCCAGCTGGAGAGGGAACAGTTACTGGAGAGGCTCATAACGGTAAGAAGACAAAATACAAAAAAATAACCTAAAAACCTAACTGTGTTTTGTTTCTGAGAGCTGAGGCAGGGCTCAAAGATGCCCCTTCTGGACAGCATTGGTGTTGCTCTACCTACTGTTTGTTTGCATTGGTTGGTTAACTTAAGTCATGTGACACTAATGTTGTGTTTGCGGCCTTTTTTAAGGCAAAGTTCCAGCAGATCATGAGGTCAGAACAAAGATCAGGTCTGACAGGAAGTGCAGATAAACGTACGCTTCACTTCCTGCTTCTTTTCTCCTGAACCTTCTCAGCGCTATTGTTGATCATTTTTATGAATCAGGAACATGTGCCATTGTTTGGTTTATTATTTTGTTTCTTTGCCTCTCAAAAGTATTTTTTTCATTTTTGCTTTGATTGAATCATTTTATTTTTTTTTCCGACTGTTGTTGCTCCAGCTGGGCCAAAAATCCAGGCACTTCTCATCACTGTTGGCACCGCTATTGTCAACACACATTTTACCTCTTGCTCTCCAACACCAAAGTCCATAGAGAAAAGCATTGCTTTTAGTTCACAGTTCGTCAGCTGCTGGTCTGCTGCTTCCTGGTGTGATCCCACCTGAACCTGGGTAAAGAATGAACTGTTTGAGGAAGACGTCAAATCAGTGTGCTATGATGTTACACCACTGGTTTTCTCTATGAACTTTGGTGATCGGGGAAGGAGTAACAAAGCCTTACTTATCAGTAAAGGACTATTTTAAACAAACACTGCTGTGCTCTGGTCCAGTGTGGAGCTTCTGACTGTACAGCCGCTTCTGCTCTGTGTGTACCTCTTTCTTTCTACCTGTTCCTCTCTATCTTTCTACCTCTGTTGCTCTCTCCACCTCCATTTCTCTCTCGCTCTGCTCTCTCTGCCGGGTCTCTGACATCCATCCGTCCGTCTCCCTCCTATCTCTCTGTTCATCCAGGCTGGATTGATGTAACCTGGGATGCTGGCGGCTCTAACTCTTATCGTATGGGCGCTGAAGGGAAGTTTGACCTCAAGCTTGCTCCAGGGTACGACCCTGAGTCGGCTGCCACAGCGCCGTCAACCAAACCTGTCTCATCCACTGTTTCAGGCCCCGCCTCCTCCATGGTGGGACCCTCCGCGACACTGGCAGCCGGCGCCGCCACGACCACCTCATCATCATCCTCGTCTTCACTGTCGTCTCAGCAGCAACTTTGGAGCAGTCTGGTGAAAAATAACTGTCCTGACAAGGGCGGAGCCATGTCGCTGGGTGGAGCCAGCTCCTCTAGCAGGAAGGGTAGCAGCAGCTCAGTCTGCAGCGTTGCCTCGTCTTCAGACATCAGTCAGAGTTCTTCTACTGGGTTGCCATGTACCGGGGGTCTGCGGTTAGAGCGGCGAGCTGAGGGGCTGCTGCTGGACCCTGGCTCTCGGGGGGGAGGAGTCATGGGAGGTGGGGCCAGTGACGGACAACATCAGGAGCCTATTGTTGTGCTGTCGTCGGTGGTGGAAAGTTTGTCTGGTTCAGCATCCAGCTCTGGCACCCTGACCGCAGACACCTCAAATGCTGGGGATGAGGCCAGGAACAAGGACTTGTCAGTGGCTAACATGGACCCAGCAACCGCCATCTCCATGGGGCTGGTGAGCGTCAGCTCGCCTGACGTAAGCTCGGTGTCAGAATCTTCCAGTAAGGACGCTCCTTCTCAAAGGCCTCTGTGCTCAGCAACTAACGCCCGGCTGTCAGTCAGCTCACTGTTGGCTGCAGGCGCTCCCATGAGCTCCAGTGCCAGCGTTCCCAACCTGTCGTCCCGAGAGGCCAGCCTGATGGAGTCCTTTGTCCGGCGTGCACCAAACATGTCTCGCACCAACGCCACCAACAACATGAACCTGAGCCGCAGCAGCAGTGACAACAACACTAACACGCTGGGCAGGAATGTTATGAGTACTGCAAGTGAGTGGAACACTCGCGCTGAAGTATTTTTAAGTCTAATTGCAGTAATGTTAAAAGTATAAAAAAAAAAAAAGTTTTTTGTATTCATAGTTAAAAACAATGTTACTGTATTTCTGATGTGCTAAGAATTTTTTTTAAATGGCATTTATATTAGGGCTCCTTCTCAGATTTAAATTTTCACCTCGTTGCTAACATTTTTTTTAATCATTTACAGCTTCTCCTCTGATGGGTGCTCAGAGCTTCCCGAACCTAACCACAACCGGTACCACCTCAACCGTTACTATGTCAACCTCCATAGTTACCAGCAGCAATAACGTAGCCACAGCAACCACAGGGTTATCAGTTGGGCAGTTGCTAAGCAACACCCTGACGACCAGCCTGACGTCAACATCCAGTGAGAGTGATACGGGGCAGGAGGCAGAGTTTTCTCTGTACGGTGGGTAAAGTTAGTTACTGTGTGCTGTGATGAAAAATGTTAACACAAATTCCTCTGGAATTGTATTTTAATATGTAAAGGTTGTTTGGTCATACTCTTCCTTTCCCCACACACTGATCTGTTTCCTTTCTCTGCAGACTTCTTGGACAGCTGTCGTGCTAACACCCTGTTGGCTGAGCTGGAGGACGAGGAGGACCTGCCCGAGCCTGATGATGATGACGATGAAAATGAAGATGACAATCAGGAGGACCAGGAGTATGAAGATGTTCTGGTAAGAGCACCTCACAGCAAATGTAAAAGAATTATTCTACAGTGATCTAACAGGAATTGAGGATGACATGGTGTCCGATGTCCTGCAGGAAGAGGAAGAGTACGAGACTAAAGGAGGACGCAGGAGGACATGGGATGACGACTTTGTCCTGAAGAGACAGTTCTCTGCTCTGGTTCCTGCATTTGACCCCAGACCAGGAAGGACCAATGTCCAGCAGACTACAGACTTGGAAATTCCTCCACCAGGTGATGGACACAAATGTCCATACATACACACACATACAGGGATTACTTTATGAGACTCTGACCTTTGACACTTTTGCTTCAGGGACCCCACGCTCAGAAGTTCAGGAGGAGGTGGAATGTGCTCCCTCTCCTCACCTCGCCCTCACCCTGAAGGTAAGAAAGTTCTCACTGTGCTCCCATTCCCATTGTCCTGTTCACCTTCATGTGTGAGTAAATGTGTGTTGTTTTCAGGTGTCAGGGTTGGGTACGACCCGCGAGGTTGAGCTTCCTCTGTCCAACTACAAGTCCACCATCTTCTACTACGTCCAGCGGCTGCTGCAGCTCTCCTGCAACGGAGCCGTGAAGACTGATAAACTGCGGCGCATCTGGGAACCTACGTACACGTGAGTGGGAACACTGACGATGCTGATGCAGGTCTGAACAGCAGGAGCGGGTTTCTGATTCTCTGTGTTTGTTTCCTAAAGAATCATGTACAGAGAGCTGAAGGATGCTGAGAAGGAGAAGGAGAGCAGCAAAATGGTACAACACCACACCATACACTGAGAACCTTCAACACAAACAATGTCACACAATAAACTGACCCTACACACGTCTCCTCTCACCCAGGACTTCTGTGAGCACAATGTTGGTCGTTCTGGAGGTTTGAGTCCAAGTTCTGTCTCAGCCAATCAGAACAGTGAGATCCTGGGCGGGGCCAAGGAGGCGGCTCAGGCAAAGGCAGGCTGCAGCCAAAACGCCTGTGGAGTCGAGGACGTCCTGCAGTTGTTACGCATTCTCTACATCATCGGAGGAGACGCCACCTCCAACGCACGCACGTTACAGGAGGGTACGAACACACACACACACACACACACGAGTAGCTGACACTTTAGAGTCTCTCTGCCTTGTCATTACAATCCACTGTACACCCACAGTTCCTCATGTTGATGTTCCAATGTTATAGTGATTGACATTTTCAGATCCAGCATGGATCAAACTTCATGACCTTCCCGGAGTTTCCACTAAATATAAATTGTGTTTCTAGATATCGATGAGCTGCAGTTTAACGCCTCTCCTGAGGAGTTCACCAGTAAAAAAATCACTACAAAGATCCTCCAGCAGATCGAGGTTAGTGAGTCACAAGATTACAGAGATTTCACATTCAATCTGGCTTCACTCTTGATGTCATTTCATTTTTAAACTCCCCAGGAGCCTCTTGCTCTTGCCAGCGGTGCTCTGCCCGACTGGTGCGAGCAGCTCACGTCCAAGTGTCCGTTTCTTATTCCCTTTGAAACACGTCAGCTTTACTTCACATGCACTGCTTTTGGAGCCTCAAGGTGAGTCTGACTCTGCCCACAACGAAATCAACCACATGTTTCCGACGGCCTCCCCTTGACATCTGACCTGAACTCTGTCCATGCAGGGCCATCGTTTGGTTGCAGAACAGGAGGGAGGCAACCATGGAGCGCTCAAGACCGTCTACCACTGTGCGCCGAGACGATCCTGGAGAATTTAGGGTGGGCCGGCTAAAACATGAGCGAGTCAAAGTACCCCGTGGTGAGGCCATGATGGAATGGGCGGAGTCTGTCATGCAGATTCATGCAGACAGGAAGTCTGTGCTAGAGGTGAGAGGGACAAATGAAAATGAAACAACTCTGAGATGAAGATATACTTGACTCTGCTAATGACTTTTGTAATTTTGTGTAAATATAGTTTTCGTAAAATAACATCCTAAAGGGTTTTTGAAGCTAAATTAACTGTGTGTTTTAGGTGGAGTTTCAGGGTGAGGAGGGAACTGGTCTGGGTCCAACACTGGAGTTCTACGCCCTAGTAGCAGCTGAGTTCCAGAGAACCACTCTGGGAATGTGGTTGTGTGATGATGACTTCCCTGACGATGAGTCGAGACAGGTGAGTTACATGACTAGTGCAGCTGTTAAGGTTAAACCACGTGGTTGGACAACTGAGCAGTAAGTTGAACTTCCTCTCTCCCTGCCTCAGGTGGACCTTGGTGGTGGACTCAAGCCTCCAGGTTTCTACGTGCAGCGCTCCTGCGGTCTGTTTCCGGCACCATTCCCTCAGGACAGCGAGGACCTGGAACGAATCACAAAGCTCTTTCACTTCTTGGGCGTCTTCTTGGCCAAGTGTATCCAGGACAACCGTCTGGTGGACCTGCCCGTTTCCCAGCCTTTCTTCAAGCTGCTCTGTCTAGGTGACATCAAGTCCAACATGAGCAAACTGTTGTATCAGTCACGCAGCTCAGCGCCGCTGCCTGGTCACGACACTGATAGGCTCCACCCACACTCCTTCCTGCTGCTATCGGAGGTCCAGTCAGAAGCGTCTACTGAGGAGAGCCAAGAGACCTTCTCTGTGGGAAGCTTTGATGAAGACTCAAAATCTGAGTTCATCTTAGACCCCCCTAAACCTAAACCTCCAGCCTGGTACCATGGGATCCTGACCTGGGATGACTTCCAACTGGTCAACCCACACAGGTCAGATGACACACATGTAATTCTCTGCATAAGTCATCTGCAGTTGCTAGATTTTATTTGTCTAAATGGTGTTTGTCGTGGTGTGTGTGTGTGTGTGTGTGTGTGTGTGTGTGCACGCAGGGCGAGCTTCCTGAAGGAAGTGAAGGACTTGTCAGTGAAGAGGAGGCAGATCCTGTCCAGCAAGAGTTTCTCTGAAGATGAGAAGAACACACGGCTGCAGGATCTGATGCTCAGGAACCCCATGGGTTCTGGTCCCCCGCTCAGCATCGAGGACCTTGGGTACTGATTATAATCACTTGTTCATGCAACAAGGCTGACTGTTAGCCATAAGATGTTACCTATGTTCGCTTGGTTTCATAGTTGTAATCTTGTCAGATAGAATTATATATTGTCCATCAACAACAGATTTGATACATTTGTGCAAAACAATCTTGTTCAAGATAAAAACAAAAGATGTCCCTGTCCATCTGTCCTCAAATGTGAAAATCACTGATGTATATTTTCCATCTCTTTTGATTCCAGTTTGAATTTCCAGTTCTGTCCGTCCTCAAAGGTTCATGGTTTCTCTGCAGTGGACCTCAAACCAAATGGAGATGATGAGGTACGTAAACAAACCCTACCATCAGAAAACTGAAGTGAAGTGTCTTCTACTAGAAAAAATGTTGAAGGAATTTGTTACAAAAACTGAAAAACCTCAGCTGAGGGTTCACAGTTGACAGCACATACAGCTGTCTTTGAACCAGAACCTGAACTTGAAGCAGAAATGACAACATTAGGAGAGTTGTTCTAGGTTCTTCTGTAAAAGCATTTTATTGCTTGACCACACTGGTTCAGCTCTTATTAAGAGTTGGTGTGTTTGTGTGCAGATGGTAACGATGGAGAACGCGGAGGAGTACGTGGAACTGATGTTTGACTTCTGTATGAACACAGGAATCCAAAAACAGATGGAGGCTTTCAGAGGTAAATCCACAAGACACAAAAAGTCACAACTTCTATCTTTTACCAGAACTACCACTAGTTGTCTAAGCTTAATATGTACATTTCACATTTGTCTTAACTTCGTACTGAGGCTCAGAAATGAGGGTACATTTCACATTTGTCTCAACTTCGTACTGAGGCTCAGAAATGAGGCTTGGTCAAAGCAGGATTTTGAAAAGTTGTGCTTTTTAAATTAGTTATTATTGTTTTTACTAATGTTTTTGTGTTTGCCATATGATGAACTATTGCTGACATAAAAGCATACATATATGTGTGACGCATGATGGCTTGTAGTATTGACATCATGGACAACACTTTAGATGATCACATGAACAAATCCACCCAGGTTAATAACTCATCCCCTTTTCATCTTCTGCTTCTCCTCACCTTTCCTTTTTGTCTCCTCAGAGGGTTTTAATCGAGTCTTTCCCATGGAAAAGTTAAGTTCTTTCTGTCATAAAGAAGTTCAGATGATTCTCTGTGGAAACCAATCACCTTCCTGGACGGCTGATGACATCATCAACTACACTGAACCAAAGCTGGGATACACCAGAGACAGGTAGGTACATCTACATCTTGATCATCTGATTTGTTAACACATAAATCCTAAACCCGCTCCCTCTCTCCACTCAGCCCGGGCTTCCTGCGATTCGTCAGAGTTTTGTGCGGAATGTCATCAGACGAGAGGAAAGCATTTTTACAGTTTACCACCGGCTGCTCTACGCTACCACCTGGTGGTCTTGCCAACCTCCACCCTCGCTTAACTATAGTCCGAAAGGTAAATAATGCAGAAAATGCGCAGTTGCTTTTGGTCATTGGTTTTAACATGTCATTTTAGGCACTAACCAGATCCCCATGGTGAATAACTTCATCCCTACAGAAATAAACATTGAAGGTGAATCCTCTTGTTTAAAATGAATGACAACTGTTGACCCCTCCCTCTCAGGTGGATGCCACAGATTGCAGTTACCCATCAGTGAACACGTGCGTTCATTACTTGAAGCTTCCAGAATATTCCTCTGAAGTCATCATGAGAGAACGACTGCTCGCCGCCACCATGGAGAAAGGTTTCCATCTCAACTGAGTTCAAGGAGAATGCTCCTCACCAACACCACCACTGTCACCGCCGCTGCCACCAAATGCTGCTGCGTGATTGACCGCTGCATCAGCTGACCACAGTCGGTTGATCAGAGGAGGACTGACAGGAGGAGGAGAAGAAGGAGCCATCAACAATACATGAAATAGAAACCCTGCTGTCTCCTCCTCTCCATCTTTTTCCTCCTCCTCCTCACCTGAGCGTGTGCTCATTTGACCTTTCTCCGCTTTCCTTTTATTTCTTTTGCTTTTTTGAGTTTTTTTCTCTGTGTGCGTGTGTGGGTTGTTTGTTTGAGGCCTGTAGGGGTCAAAGTTCAGAGTGACATCATCGCTGCAGAGACATGAAAAAGACGTCGCTCGCCCTCTTGCTCTCCTGTATTTTCTTTGTATATTATAAACATTTATTTAACAGTTTGAGGTTAAACACATATTTTCAAATGTGAACGCTACAAAAAAAATCATTAAAATGTCTAAAAAGTATGAAGGAAAGATGATTGTCCTGTCGTTCCTCCTCCTCAACTTTACTTTTACCTCCGGTGTCGGCGACAAAAAAGCCCATCTTAAAAATAGCGGTAGTCTTTTCTAATATCGTATTTACACAACTTATTTTTAAATAAATTATTATTTAATTATATTAAATACATATAATATATAATAGTGTCATTAATAATAATTATTAATTAATAATTGTCCTCTTTTTGCTTCTTAGAGAGACTGACAAAATTTCACAATGGTCAAGTTGTTTTTAAACATTTATTTACAGTTTTGAGCAGAACACATTTCTAAAGTGTGAAAACTTTAATTAAAAAACAAACAAAATGAGTCTTCTTCAACGCGGTGGTCTTCAGCCGTCAGCCATCTTGTCCAGTGCAGTGAGTGGGGCCAGGATGCGGCTCTTGTTTGTTTCTACGATGTGTCCGTTCTGAATAATCTCATCCAAAATGATGTGGACTCGATCCAGATTGAACATAATCTGTAGGCTTGTTATTAAAGGAAAAATATAACATGACAAAATAAAGTAACTACAGCAATGTTTAAAACATACTTTTCCACTGGATCTGAGAAATACACTTTGGGGGGAAAAAACATCTGATACTCAATGCTCCAGTTTACAGGACACCGTATATTTAAAATCTTTAACCACAGCATGACATCAGCATGTTGATAAAGGATACATCCAGTTCACTCTGTGGAGAAACAAACACACTTAAAGAAGAATGCTTTTTTTAAAATCCACAAGTCAGAGGATTTGCCGTGTCTCTACACTCACCACTCTGCTGAAATATTTATCCAAAACTTCAACAAAGTTGTGGACCAGCTCGTAGATGGACAGCTCATTCTGATGAGACAGGTGGTGGACCACATTATCAAGCACACTGTCCACCTTTGCGTTATTTAATAATAAATCAACAAATACACCAAGTGTGTTGACGACTCACTTCTGCATCTGTGACCCCAACCACGATGTACAGAGCAGCATACTGACGATAGATGAGACGGAAGTCTTTGTATTCTACAAAGGAACACTGAAAACACCAGGGCAGAAAATAGCGGACAGGTGAATAAGAGTCTGCACCATATTTGGTATGTGTGTATAAGTGCTTTTTGTTTATTTTTATTTTTTTAAAATCGTTTCACTATTTTGATACCTGCTCCTTGTTTCGGCTCAGACAGAAGCGCACCACATCGGCCTCGAGGGCTGCCCTCTTAGTCAGCTCCACGGGTTGATAATATCTGGACAATCTGGTCTGACCTTGACGGTTCACCATCAACAAAAACTTTATCATCCTCTGCAACACAAATAAACAGTTGGACGGATAGTTCATACACCTTTACGGGCATCACTTAACACGGTTATGTTTAATATTTTAATTATTATTTTTATTATTTTATTAAAGTCTTACGTTTGAAAAATTGTATTAGGGCAAGCATTGACTAAAATCCAAGCCCTGGTCTGACAATTGAAAAATCATTGTAAGGATTTTTCTGGAACCCGATAATCGGTTATGGAAAATTCCAATAACACAATTTGACATTGAATATATTATACATAACTCAGTTCAAAACATTGTTTTAAATTGGGTGTGATATAACAGTAATAAAGATTGGCCACTCACCTAGATTCCGTGTCTGTAAAGAACCTAAAAACAAACAGCATGCTAATTTGAAGCTAACAGCTGTTAGCTTACTTACAAAATACACTACCTAAAACAAGTGTACCTCCATTTATATAACCACAGATTTAGCAGCCTGCTATTTCGTAAGCTGGGTGAGAATATTAATCTAAAACCAGCGTAAATAAGTTCTAAATAAACGTTATGTTTCCGTTTACAAAAGAAAAACAAGGTAACAGGAGTTTTAGCAATTTCACGCACGCGCAGTTACTGCACCGGTGACGCATTCACAGGCGCCTTCAAAAGTCGTAACAAGTATTTAAAACAGACGATCTTAGCGTATTAAAATGAATAAACCAAATATGAAATGACACTGAGAAATATAGAGCATATATTATTTTATATAAATTCTAAAGCACAACCACGTAAATAACTTTAAGTACGACTAAGAAACTATAAGGTAATTATAAGAAAATATATAATATAAAAGATTATAAAAGATTAATATATTACTCAAAATTTTCAAAACAAAATAACTACGAGTTATTTTGTCTTTTTAATTTTCCACAAGTGCTTTTGTTTTTATGTCTCGTTTTTATTTTTTAAGAATTTTCGAGTACATAAGTCCCATTATTAACTAAAAACAAACAATTTTCCTTTAATAATAGTTTACGTTATATTGTTTTTGTACCTAAGATACAGCTTAGTCAAAAAAGATAAAAACAAAGCAAATATATGTGTATATACGTAAGATGGCATTACGTAATAAAAATACAATTTCAACAAATATTCTTAAAGGGGTTTGTAATTCTATCATCTAACAGTTTTGGTGAATGAATTGATTATGAATATGCAACGAAACATTTACTTTATTGCTTTAAGATCCCGGCGGTTAACTGTGCTGTTCCAGTATTGTGCCACTGAGGGGCGGCAAAGGTTTTAAATCGCTCGTCTTGATCAAACATGGGAAATGTGTGGCATGAGATCGAGGAAATTGAGTTTTCTACTGTTTATCCCGGTACGTGAACGTCACGTAATGTCCAATGACAGGGGAAAGTAATCGGGATGATGTGTCCCATCATGCAGCGCGGCCGGGTTCTCCCCCAGCGATCGTCGAATCCATAGAGAGAGCAGTAATGGCGGTCGGTTAGAGCCCGCACACACGCACTCGAACAGAGACTCTGCGTCCTCAGTCAGACGCTATCAGCACAGCCCTCTCGGGGCAAACCATCTTACACACCGCGGAGAAACCTGAGGCGGCGACACTGGGCCTCGAGAGAGACGGAAATAAATTAGTGGTCGGCCAACACCGCTGCTGTTTCTTCTGCTCGGGACTTTCCTCCCACTTTTGTGAAAAAAAGAAAGAGGGAGTGAAAGAAGAAACATGGATGAGCAGCCCGGCGGAGGAGGAGCGGGCGCCGCACGACAGCCTCCGCCGCAGCAGCAGCTGGGGAACAATAACGGCTCTAATCCACCACTTGGAGTAGGAACGGTAGGCAGCGGTGGAGGAGTCATGGTCCCGCATCAACCGGATGACCTGCCCCGGCCCCAGCAGCAGTACACAATCCCCGGCATCCTGCACTACATCCAACACGAGTGGGCCCGCTTCGAGATGGAGAGAGCGCATTGGGAAGTTGAGAGGGCCGAGCTCCAGGTTAGCACTTAGCTAATCCTAGCATAGTATGATCAGACACACCGAAAACAGAGATGAGGTGTCGCCATAACTCTCTGCAGCATAACAATTCACAACAACAACAACGGAGCATGTTCTTTACAGCATTTATTACATATCTTGTTCATTTTAGCCAATATGAAGAATGATATATATGCAAAAGCCAGAGGTTAGCGTCCCACTGACATCGCCGGGAGCAGATGGCCGTAAGACTATGGTTAGCGGTAGAGTTTTCTGTTTGTGCATTTAGCATTAGTGTGATTTAATGGCCATATACACACAAATTGAGTTTGTTTGGGCCTAACTGCTTAAGTAGAAGTTCACGTTGCTGTTCGCCAGCTCACAAATGTACACACAAACACACGCCATTTTGGTTGGTCACGCTAGCAGAGTTAGCTAAATTACACCTAACTGTAGTTCAGGCAACATGACAAAATATACATATGACAAAACTACTCCTAACTACTACAGTACATAAATATAAGAGCATCAGAAACGGATAGGATTATTTATCGTCTAGATAACACCTTTTAATTCAAAGAGTGTTAATCACTGCTAAATCAGTTCAATAAAGTTTCTTTTGATAACATACAATTGTTAGCTCAACCTTAATTTTAATATTTAAAAAATGAATAATTCAACATTCATCCTCACAAAAATATATGTCTGGTATAACGTTTTCATTCAAATCAGAAAAAACGAATATTGTTGTGCTCCATCCAAAAAGTTAGAAGTTAGCTTCTGTGATTAGCGGCAGTGTGTAAATGCACTTGTTAGAAGTTAGCTTCTGTGTGTTGACTGATTAGCGGCAGTGTGTAAATGCACTTGCTGAAAGGTGCAATACTTCATTTGTTCGTCACAACACACCCTGGAGTGATTGTACTGAGTGAGTCTGACTGCCTATGCCGTGCTCTGACTTGTCTGACGGTGACCCTGGATGCCTCCAGCATGACTCGGCCAACGTTCCTGATAAGAGACAATTACATATGCCAATGTGTCAACATTCCTGTGACTCACAGGTTGAGGAACAACCAGCCATCACATGTTCTGCTGCTACGTCATGAATGTTCAAATTAGAGTGTCATTGATCTAATCCTGGTCCAGAGTGTTGGACGACTTGATAGATTTCTTGTTTTGAAAAGTGATGCACCTAATTTTCCTAGCAAACATGTTATGTAGAAATAGATTTGCTGTACTGGGGCAGTGAGGAGGCATTTGTTTGTGTAATTAGAGAGTGCTGTTTGAGTTGAATGAGTTTCAGTGATAGGAAAAGGAGATTGTGAATAGTTAGAGGTCCAATTTTCACTCTGTACAGTTGCCAGCTGTTTCAATGTGGAACTGCCTGTTTATTCTGATGTGGCTGGGTTCAGACTCATTTTATGGTGTGTTTTTGTCTTAGCGGTAAAGTAACTAGAAAAGTAAAATGGTATGTGGAAAGTACTAAAAAAGTGCCTGAATTTTGAGCAGGGAAAGAATTGAGATCTGGCTTTTGGTGTCAAAAGTGAAATAAATCAATACAATGCAGCAGCAAAGATGTAAAGGATCCATTAGACAGCCATTGAAATTGACTGGTGGCTGGTAGACTCTTTTGGCCAGATGTACCTTGAAAAGAGTTTTTGTTTTTTCTCAGAGGACTTCCTCTGTAAAGGTTAATTCAATTACACGAGGCTAAAAATACAGCACATGAAAGATAAGCTCACTATCTGTACAGCTCTGGATCCCTATGACTTCTATTTTGGAGTAGCTGCAGGAAACATGGCATTTGTGCCAGTTCATACTGGATGTCACTGGGTATTGAAACATTTGTTGTGTTGTCAAACCTCAGTGTTTTCATCCTTTATTGTATCTACATTTCCTGGCTTGCTTCTGCCCTGGGGGAAATGGGGATGGGGGTGGGTTTGGTTTGGTCCTCGGAGATAAATCTTTAAACACAATAAGAGAAGAAGCAGTACACTTATATACACACACATAACAACTCATTCCTTCATTTCACCCCACTGTGACACAGGAGCAACGAACACTTCGGCTGTTTCATCACAACTGTGTATGTAATTTAACTTCTTGCAGTGACTACACACCTGAGCTCTCTTCACTTGTCTCTAGAATAGTCTTTATTGTACCTGAGGCTCTACCAAATTGAATTCATGTAGTATAAATCATAGAGATGTAGGATATTATCAGATGACCAATAATATTGGTCAGATATTAGCACAAGTATGTACAGTAATTCTAAGTATCTTATCCCTAAGAATTGTTATTGTTTTTTCCTCCAATAACAAAACCCAATAACATAATGTCTGGGGTTCACCCAGATGATGTGACCTAAAACATTGTTTGGCTGCATGTACCTGTATGTATTATAAGTGTTTGGACAATATGGACATTGTTTGTATTATTGTAAGTGTTTGGACAATATGGACATTGTTACCATGAATAACAATCCACAGAGCAGGTGTTTTGATGAAAACACTTCTCCATGTTGTCCTGGACGTCTGTCAAGTTACACATTTAAAATGACTAAGACACCACTTTTCTTCATACCTGCATTGTAGCCAAAAGGTCAAAGGTCATTTTAGAGATGCTTGTGGGTGTTTGATAAAGAGGGTATTTCTCTGCTACGCCCGGCTGTTATTAGGAGTTCTGGCCTAGTGGGCCCTGCTCTGACAGGTCCAGTCCAGCTGGACGCTAAATGTAGACGATCCTGAAATAACTCAAACACACACACACACTCACTCACTCTCTCTGAGAGTATGGCACAGTGAAGGAGAGATGGTTCAGACCATGTGATGGATTTTGTTTACTTGGCGTTTCTCAGTGAAGACTAAAGTGTGTGTGTGTGTGTGTGTTAATGGTGGAGTTGTTCTGGAGCCATAAAGACCACCCAAAATCCCCCTCCAACCATCAGCCAGGACCATGATCTCTCATCCTGGTAAAACTGGGTCGGTGATTTCACCCTCAAACACACACACACACAGAGTGGCCTTTTGGTCATAATCATCAGTCTTTTGTTGTGACATCACCTCAGCTCCCATGATTCATGTGTGCCAGGTGCACAGAGACAGGAGAGCTGGAGCTGCTCACTGTCTTCAGCCTGGGACACACGGTCCTCAGCATTCATGCTTGGACATCAGAAGACGCCAGGCTGTCGATCCATTCATAACAAACTCTCACCATTTGCTGTTTAGTTTCACACAGTTTAGATTTGAGTTGATGACGACGTGAGCGAGCGAGTACTACAGCAGTCGGACAGAATGTTGGACTTTCTAGCTTTTACTCTGCCACCCCTCACTTTGCCCCATCGCTGGATTAAAAGATAATTCCTAAAGATGATACTCTTGTTTCTGGACACACATATGTCAGTGGTTTATTTGGGGACTGTGGATCAGTGGGAAGAGAGGTGGACCTTTACAAAGAAATCCTGGGTTTGAATCCAGCTGCTTGCATGGGCAAGACATTTAATCCGCAGTGCCAGTGCCTTAGTGCCAGTCTCAGGCCTGGATAAATGAGTAGGGTTATGTCAGAGAAGGCATTCAGAGTAACAGGAGTGCCAAATGTTCCCCTGAGGATGATCTGCTGAGGACCACTGGAGCAGGGAGCAGCTGAACCTGATTCTTCA